GTTGTTCCCATGTTGGAGTACTTAATTGCGTTGTGATGACGGTTGGGCGTTGAGTGGCGGCAATACATTTGCATACTTGGAGTTCAGGTTCACGAGGTCGTTGAGCGATACCATTTAGCATTAATGACAAACAAGCATATTCTCATATATGACAGGTCTGTGTTTATCAGTCGACCCTTGATTACCCTTAATCAGGTCCATAGCTGCTCCTAGGCATATGCTGTACTACGTTGTTGAGGTCCGTCTAATTGGATCCTCAGATCATGTTACAGACGGCATCGGTATATCTTACTGGTCCTGATTGATGGAAAAAGGCTACAGTTGGGCATCCAGTCATTATCATTGGTTAAGCCAGTAGAAATCCAGTCGAGACAAGCGAGTATCCATCTCTACCCCTCGAAGGACTTTTTTAGAGCCCCTGTGAACAAATGCACAGCGCGCCATGATCGGTACCATTGCCAAGCTTTCTCTTCCATCGTGATGGCGCTCTTTCTAAAATTGCACGCCTAGAATTCCGTCTCGAGGCTCTTGAGCTGGGTAGCAAACGTCTTTCGAACCCATTCCATGTAAGCTTTCCACTTGTGATGGTCACCGGAGACCTCAGCATTGGGAAACGCCTTGCTTAGTTCTCGCGTCACCTTGAGGACACCCATGGAGGCCTCCTGTGCTTTCTCGAGTTCCTGCTTCACTGCATTATCCTTGGGCTTGAAGGACAATACGGCAGAGTAACGTTCCGAAAGCTGGTCGAGGTAGCGTTGCGTTTCTTCTGGCGCGATTGGGATGAGTTTCGAGGTCATGAGGTTGCATATGGTGCGAATGTCTTGCTCGTCTTCGAGTCCGGCTAGGATACGGTCGAAAAACTCGGAGACATGGGTGACGGAGAATGCGGTGTCCAAGGAGGCATAAAGTGTTTCGTAGGCGCTCTGATAAACGTTAGTTCGGTGAAGCTGAAACGAAGCGTCAATATGCAGGTCAGGTATATCACGTACCTTACGCAGCTCTAGGCCATCGTCAACCTTGTGCTTGAATGGACCCATCTGCACCTCGCGGATGAGTTCAGGTTTGACCTGGGTGTCGCCAAAGACCGCCGGAAGCAATTCGCTAAGGTGAGGCAGGATAATATTCATCTTGTTGTGGATGGCGGAATTGAGCGTTGTCAGAGCGAGGCGGTGGTTACCAAGATCACGGTCACTGAGCATGTTGACCAGAAGCGGGACAATCAGAGGTCTCAACACATCGTTGTAAGTGCCCCGCGAATCTGTAAGAGTGTAACGGAATGCAGATATGACAACACCTCGAATATTTGGATCGGAACTGGAGAGGTAGTCCTAGAGAACTGAAGTCAGAAAAGGGAGAGATGTGGACAAGGACTCAAAGCTTACCTGGAAATGCGGGATGTAAGCCACCGGATCAATCAATGCCAGGCGACCAATGCATTCTGCTCCCACGGCACGATTGTCCTCTTCTTCCGAGACCAGAAGGAGAGCCTGCCATAACTTGACAGCAATAGGAGCTACGTCAGGACGAACAATCTCGGGATGTTGGAGTAATTCCTTAACGGAGTGCAGAAGCAGATAGCTTCGAGGGTTCGATTTCGTAAGGCCATCCAAGATGATGGGCATGTAAGTCTTCACGTTACCTGCGGCTGCGTTTCCGAGAGCAGTAGCAGCAGCCAGCCTGACCTTATCAGACTTTGAATCGAAGTGGGTGATGAAAAGATCTGGAGTTAAGGAGCACGCGGAGCCCATGCGAAGACCGATTTCACCAATGATGGCGAGTGCAAGGCATTTCCGTTGAGCGTCCTGCGCAGTTTGTAATTCGGTCAAGAAGTCCTCCATTCTAACGCCTAATTTGGGACCGCCATGAACAAGCAAAGTTCCAATCGCTCTTCCAACCACGGACGTATCGCCGTTGATACCGACGTCCCGAAGCAGCTTCTGCATCAATTCAGCTCCAGCACCTTCCTCTCCGACGACCTTCACCAGGAGAAGTAATGCCTTCAGCACAGTGCCAACGAGTGGAGCGAGAACAATAGAGCATAGGGCGGAGACCAAGCCTTCATTGACAAGAAGCTGGGCATTACCAGGTATGAGCTTTGCCAATATAATGAGGGAGGGTGCAAGGAAATGAAAGTCATCAGCACTGATTAAAGGTAAAAGGCAGTCCTCCAGCTCCTTCATTGTCTTTCCGTTGTAATGGATCCTTGTACTGGGGTTCATGGCCAAGCTACGCAAAGTTTCCAGGCTCGCACCACGCAGAACGCGGTCCGACTTGCGCAGTTGAGCACCAAGTTCCACAGTCACCTCACTGACCCAGGCTGCGCTAACGTCTGTCTCCTTGGTGCAGAGAACAGCTATATCATCCACCGCGCGGACAGAGGCAAGACGTGTAGTTTCATTCCTCAAGCGATCTACCAAGACAGAAAGACCCTTTGATCGCCGATCTGAGGACAGGAAATCAGCGCCCTTTTCCCCAGACGTACGTGCCAGAAGGACACCAAAGACATGAATGGCACGCTGCCGAACTTCAAGGTCGGCACTCGTATCTGTGATACGAGAGAGGATCTCATCGTACAGCTTTTCTAATTGCGACGCGAGATCACGAGAATTTGCAGAGACACGAGGTGGGGTCAGAGCTTTGATGATTTGCTCGACAGCTCCAAGAGCTTCGCTGCTGACCTTGTAGTTCCGGTCGTTGACAGCACCGATCACGCCCGGAATCAAGGCAATCAGGAAGGGCAACAGTGCTTCGGATGTGTGGGTTTCGGCAATGGCAGCGATCAGACTCAGTGTTTCAGTCTGCAGGGTTCCGGCACTGACAGCGGGGCCAGCGGTTGCAGTTGCATTGCCTGTGGACGAAGACTTCAGGACATCAGCAATAGGATCTTCGATTTGCTGCAGATGATCGGCCAGACCGCCATAGCGCACGAGAGCCAGGCTCTTGAGTAGGACAATGATAGCTTGTCTCAAAGGCACCGAAGCCGACTTCCACATCTTCACCAAACTCTGGACGATAATCGGAACCGATCTGCTTAGCTCAGCCTGAGGACCGGTCTTCGGCGACGATGGAGCGATAACTGGCGTGCTGATTGCGGAAGAAGTACCGATGCTGGGCTCAAAATCAATCATACTAGCATCGCTGTCTTGTCGTCTCCTCTTCCTCGAGTTCTTCGATCCTCCCACTGATTCAAGAAACCCATTTGAGGTTATAATCATAGCTCCTTCGCTAGTCTTTCGGACGAGAGCAGTCATGGTTGAGACGACCTCAAGCTTCACACTCTCTTCTCTCTCCTTCTTGAACCGAGCAATGAGAGCGGGCGCGATTTGCTGATACAAAGCAGTATCGTCCAAAGCCCGAGTACGCCCATAAGTTGAGATCACAGTGTAAAGCAACTTTGCTGCACAGCGTCGAACCTTCCAGCTCATATCATCAATATCGCTATAGCCTCCTTCATCTTCAAAGTCACCGAATTCGTCGTCTTCCAAGTCGGGCTCCTCTGTTGCGTCATCCTCGGAGCCATCATCCTGAGTGCCTCCCATTTCCTCATCGTCTTCGACGTCAGCCACATTAGGATCGTACTTGAGGAATCGAAGGGAGGATTTGACAGCGTTCGCTAGGTAAGGTTGCATTTGCTGACTGCAAGAGCTAATGAGCGTCTCCAGCGTTACTAGAGCTGTCTCACGGAGCTCGTCCGCCTGGGGGTCGTGCTCATCATCGTGGGAATAGTCAGACATCGAGTCGGAGGACATCTGGCTAGCTAACTGTGCTTGTAACCTATAGACTGCAATGATGTGTTGTTGCCGAATCAATGAGGAGAACGAGAGCGCGATCGTTGTTGCGATCTACGGCGATACAACGAAAGCTGGAGAAGCTTCCCCAATGATGTTAGTAGCAGCCCCGCGCTAGTCCCAAAATAACTCGGATGCGAAGTAGCGCCGAATGCGCGGGCTTGGCACCACAATGCTGCAGAATCCCTGAGGTCGTTCACTGCTGTAGAAAATCGAACAGATCAAGAGACTGAGATAGTTTTGATTGAGATTGTTGCTTTGATGCCAGAAGAGCTTGTAGTCCGCCTTGCTTTCTCGCTTTCGCACGTTTCTTGCTACTGGCGTTGTCGGCTGTTTTACTGCTTCGGTCCGCCTCAACCGATTGTGCAGTGGGAGAAACAGATTTTGCAGTGGTGGATGTCGTCGACTGAGTAGTAGAAAGAGCAGTCGCTGTTGTGTCAGGCCTGGACGTTATATTGGGACGTGCTGCTGGTTTAACTGTTTTTCGATGGCAACGAAGGCATTTGTAGACCGTAGCACCAACAACTGAAGCTTTCTTGGAAGCAGAAGAACTAGAGGATTTTGCTTTTTGCTTTCTAATTTCGATAGTCCTGGTCCTCTCAGGATTTCTGATACTACCACATGCACCACATGCGAAGTCAAGTTGCCGTTGAGTCAGAGGTTTGAACTCGTCATGAAGAATTCGATTATGGACCATTAACAAGTGAGATGCTGTTGAAGGGCTGAGCGAGTCCAGCACGCTGGCAGAGTCCCTGAGATAATTTAAGCGAGGAGTATGGTCACTGATAGGCATATCGTCAAAAGTAAAAAAGCTTCTTTGGATATGCGGGTAGAGGTTATTGTGAATATCAGCCCATAGGGAAGGAAGCAATAGTTGGTTGTCTGTTCTGTTGTGCCACAGAAAAAGTGACGGAGAACGGGATTCTCACAACCCCAACTAAATCTTCTTCATCCGTTAAACGTTCATTCACTTCTGAGCAGATCACGCTGCCAGCCTCCTTCTACTCGCCTCCCTGAATCACTCACTTTCCTCTCTCTTTTCCTCTCTCTTCATCCCTCTGACTTTCTTTTGCTTTATTTCCTTCTTCCATCTCCCTCCGTCTCTATCTCCTTTTCCTTTCCCCACTTGCCTCCATCTTTGCACATCTTTGAATCATAGAATACGGTGTTTGTCTACCTCGAATTCTGTCCCTTCTGACACTATCCAAAATAATGGAAGTGTCCACAGCGAACTCTGCCCCGTTCAGGGTCGCTTTTGAAGGTTGCGTAAGTTTCGCGCCTATTCTCTATACCCGAAGCCTACCTACTCATGCTAAAACAATGTTAGGGACACGGCCGACTTGATGACATCTACGCCTCTGTCGCAAGGACAGCTACTCGAAGGGGCTGGGATGGCGTCGATCTTGTGGTGATCGGAGGAGACTTCCAAGTAAGAATGATTCCTAACTCAAGTGTCCGTTCTGCCTCTGACTTTCCAACCCAGGCCGTCCGCAACTCAAACGATCTCGCTTGTATGTCAGTGCCTCAGAAATACAAGCAGATTGGCGACTTCCATGAATTCTACAGCGGAAAGAAGATCGCCCCTTACTTGACTGTCTTCATTGGGGGTAACCATGAAGCAAGCAACTACATGTTCGAGCTTTACTACGGTGGTTGGGTGGCACCCAACATCTATTACTTAGGGGCAGCAAATGTCATCCGTTGCGGCCCTCTTCGCATTGCGGGCTTGTCTGGCATCTGGAAAGGCTACGACTACCGAAAGCCACATTTTGAGCGTCTTCCCTACAACAATGATGACGTGCAGAGCATTTATCATGTGAGAGAGTTAGATGTACGCAAGCTTCTGCAAATTCGTACTCAGGTTGATCTTGGCTTGTCCCATGACTGGCCCAACCAAGTTGAGCTTTGCGGTGACTACGAAACGCTTTTTGCAAAGAAACATGGGTTCAGAGAGGATTCCAACAGCGGCCGACTTGGAAGCATTGCCGCCAGATTTGTTCTTGACCGTCTGCGCCCTGCCTTCTGGTTCTCGGCCCACTTGCATGTGAAATTTGATGCAGTGGTTCAGCATGGGGACAACTTGCATGCGGATTCTCTCGGACCGACGAAACCCATTGCGACTTCTCAGAGAAACCCTTCCAACACATCTACTCTCACAACCTCTTTTGGGATGGACGGTGCCGTTGTCACCTCGCTCGTACTCGGTGATGAAGACATGCCGACCGAGGAGACCCAGGTTCCACACGATCTTGCTGAGAACAAAGGGCATGCCACCGCCACTCATATGGAAGACGAGCACGTGGAAGGGCCTTCCAGGGAACTACTACTTGCCACTCAAGAGATGACTCAGAGCAACCCAGTTGGCTTTTCTCGCACCAGCTCACCGCTTAAGCGCGTTCACGGCGATGATCAAAGCCGAATTTCAGCGTGGAATAACTTTCATGCAGTGGCTGCAAGAGACGAAACAGCGGAGAATATTCGTCGCTTGGAAGAAGCACACGACACCTCAGCTTCGGATGTCGCACATAGTCTAACATGGCGCAAGATAAGTGTTGACGAGGATGATCCCGTGCGAAAGATCACTAAGGTTGAGAAGCCGGTTGACGAGGACGAATTGGAAACCAAGAAGCAAAAGACTGACCATGCCCTAAGCGCTACAAAGAATTCTGACGAGATCCCTCTCGATCTAGATAGCGATTCCGATCTGGATATATCTACGACGACTGAGACACAGGCCGCAGCTCAAAAGCAGGATGCAGTTGTTGTGCAACCGGCCACCTCAGGTGTTCCTGGCGATGGTGCGCCAAAGGCTTCAGGCGCCATCCAACAGGACAAACCTCAGGTTAGAACTCTAGTCTCTCAAGACGTTCGCAATCTACTCCCTACGAGCTTCTCTCGGCCTGAAGGTGCTGTATCCCAGGACGTTCGTAACCAACTTCCCGCCAGCTTTTCTCGGGTGGAGGGTGTAGTCTCCCAAGATGTTCGCAACCAGCTCCCCTCGAGTTTCGCACGTCCTCAAGCCAACTCAAAGACCGATCCGTCCGTCAGTGAATCTGTTCCTGAAACAATTGCCAACAAGACCACACGTTTCCTCGCATTGGACAAGTGTGAGTCAAAGCGACATTTCCTGGAACTGCTCGAGATTCCGATTGTTTCTGATCAGAATGGCACTCAACGCGCTCGTCCTTTCCGCCTTGAATATGACAAAGAGTGGCTGGCTATCACTCGCGTGTTCGCCAACGAGTTGCAGCTGGGCGATCCCGCCGTTCAAATGCAGCCGGACCGTGGCCAGGCATTCTACAAACCCCTTATCGAAGAGGCCGAGCAGTGGGTTGAAGAAAACGTCGTCAAGGCTGGCAAGATGATGGTCCCAGAGAACTTCACCCCCACTGCACCTTTCTTCGATCCCGCCGTCCCTATTACTACTGACGAGTTGCCCCCTGAATACACTAACCCTCAGACTGCTCAGTTCTGTGGACTCATCGGAATCGAAAACAAATTCCACCTGTCGGACGAGGAGCGCCAAGCAAGGGTTGAGGCTGGCCCTCGTCCCAACAAGCCGAAGCCCGAAGGTGGATGGAACCGTTCCCGCCGTCGTAACTACAATAATAGCAATCGCGGCGGCGGCGGTAGTCAGTGGCGTGGAAGAGGAGCAGGGCGCGCTCGGGGACGAGGTGGCGGTAATCAGCGCTGGTAAATATCTGAGCGTTTCGCGGTAGACATGTTCTTCCTTTCTCCAATTTCACGGGCAAATTTGTGTTGATCAAGGATTTCCCCGTCATGTACGAAGACCCGGATAATGGGATGGCTGTGATAGCCTGGAACGTTCAATGGGTATCTGATTGATGGTTTAGGTGTTTTACTGGGATGGCGTGGCTTTCGGTGGGTTTTACTGGCTCTGCGGTTCATATCGAAATGTCTCTACGAGAATGGTGTGCAAAATGGCTCTTGTCTGTAGCTTAATGATAACTGAATTGAGGAGCCTAAAGCAATTTACGTTCCAGATGTTGGGAAAGCGGAGCAGACGCTCACGCATTAGTAATTCGCGGAGGAAACACACTCTTACAGGTCATTCGATTGTAGCGTTGCGCACAAAGTGACCGAGAAACACTTGACTAGTTACAGAGCGCCGACGAGATCACTCGATTTCTTCAATCCGCGGTCTTGCACCTTGCCTGTCAGCCGTCGGATCGATGTTTAGCCCAGCTATCCTATCACCCAACTCCAATCTCGGTTGGATCTCGTCTGCATCTCCGCCCTGCGTCCCAATGCCCCATAGAAGCGACTTCTCCAGCCACGCTTCCAAGCTCTCAATCAGCACGCGGATGTGACCACGAGCAATGGTGTCTGTTTCTTTGGTTTCCACGAAGGCCAAAATGCGAAGCATATGAGGGATATTGCCTATTGTTGCGGGACCACGGATTTCTTCTTGATTCTCCCAACGGTTCCGGGTACTTTCATCGGAGAGGGAGAAGCTAAATCCCAGTCCCCGACCTCCTTGTGATTCCCTCGCCGTATCAACTGCTTTGAGGATATCGAGGAGAAGGACGACGCTTGAGCGGCGGAGAATTGCTGATTCAGGCCCAGGCTCCAAGGTGAGGGTGTCGAGCGCTAGATAAACTGCGGATGAGGCTATCGATGGGCCCAGACCTGTAATATTCGTTTGAACCGCGGAAGCCAGGATGGAGAGCGCAGACGCCCGGACTCGGAGGTCATCTGGCTCTTCATCTGGGTGAGTACCTGCAGCCCAGGCGGACACAATGTTTGCGAGATGGGCAGCTTGCTCTGGAGTCTCGTTATCGGAATCATCCTCTTCTACTGCCTCGGCTTTGGAGCTGGTTGGCGTTGTGGTAATGGTCCATCCTGGAGGCATAGCGGGCTCCTTATTTCGGCGCTCTTCGCGCTCTCTCGCTCGTCTTTCCTTCTCGAGCTCTTCCTTTCGACGCTTGTGCGTCTGCGCTTTGCGCGCTCGCCGTCCTGCAACGGCAATCATACCCTCGCCGAGAATCTTTGCTGTTTCGCCTGTCAAGGCCTCTCCGAGATCCTGAACTGTTCGTAGTAAGGACTCTCCGATTTTGAGTCTCTGGTCAAGACCGATGGTTTCGGTTCTGTCGATGTAGCGGTCCACCAGTGTTTTCACGACAGTGCGTGGGTGCCTCGATGCTAGCGTTCCGATCAACTTGATTGCGTTTAGATATATGAACTCGTCGTCGGCGGCCGATCCGGATTGATCGGTAATGATGGACAGAAGCAATGTTAACGTGGAGGGAATGTCTAGGACTGGCGAGGATTTCTTGATGAGATCAGAGAGGAGCGAGAATCCCTCCGCTTGCACGGGTGGGAGATCAGAATTGAGATTGGCCAATGCTCGGCGATGTGTCTCAAAGTCAGAGATCTGAGCAGGTGATTTTGCAGGGCCACCTTCTTCGGGTGAGGTAATATGGATCTCCAACAGCATGGATGAGGTCGTCCCTGGCTTGGCAAGAGACGGCGGTAGATGTGGTATAAGCTCATCGAGCACTGACTTCAGCTCTTGAAGAACGGGCAACATCTCCTTTGTCACAGAAAACTCGGGGGAGGCCAGCACGGTGGAAAGTAAACTGAACACAGCCGGCAGTGATTCGGCTGCGTCAGTGCCGGTCACATTTACCTCTTGCCCATGCTTTTCGTTCGAAACAATATTTGCTAAGGATGAAAGTGACACCCCTTTGGAGTCTTGCGGTTTGATCTTCTGAGACGCCTTGACCCTGTTCAATTCGCCTTCGATAACTTGCTTTATAAGCTCAAGCACTCGAAGGGGCCGCCGTGAAAGGCTATCCTTGAAGTTCTCCAGGAGTACTTCTGCTAGCTTTGCGCTTACTAATTTCTGAATGATATTGGTTGCATCTTCGGTATCCGAAGGCAACTGCAGCCGGTCCAAGGAGCGCTCTTGTGCTGGTTGGACAAGCCAACTCCGGCTCACGTAAAGAAAGATATCGCCAGTCCGTTCTTCGCTACTCGGGTCAGCTCCCAGCAAAGCGACAAAGAGCTTGGCCCGGGATTGTAGTGTATCAACCAGCCGCACAATATTCGATCTTTCCGATTCCCCACTTTTACGCTTTTCTAACACCAAGAGGTTGTTGGAATCAAGACCATAAGTCCACGTCGCACCACCGTCCCATAGCAGATTATCGACCAGCTTCTTCAAAGGTTGGGTTCCGACCGATATGCCAAAATATGTCTGTAAGATTGCCATGACTTTTTCATGGAGCTTTGGTCTTTGTTGCTCCAGCGAAAAACAAGCCAACCCCCATAGTGGTAGAAGAATGGGATACACAAGTCTCTTGACAAGCCCAGGATTCGGATGCTGAAGCGTCAAGCTACTCAGTCGTTCGATTGCCAACAGCAAGGTTGGTTCACAAATGACTGTCGGGCTCTGTATGTCCTTTCCTGACACATTCATCCATTGCTGCGTCGAAGCATCATGCTCCCCCGCAAGTACCTTGAAGATTGGTTCCACGAAGATTGAGTGACCTATTGTTCCGGGGGGCCCATAAGCTCGCTTACCAAGTATGCCGTTGCCGATAACATATGCCGCGGTCTTCTTGAAGTCGGGATCCTCGCCGTCCAGCAATGCTAAAAGCTGCGGAGCAATCCTTGTAAAGTAGGAGTTCGGATCCATTCCTTCGGGTACTGAAGAAAGCAACCGCGATATCTGCATGATGCCTTGTACAGTGAAATGGGGCCCATTTGACAGCTGGGTCTGAGACTCGTGTCCTAACGAAGGAGCAAACTGGGATGCTAGAAAGACGATTGTCTGCAACACTCCGTCCTCACGCAGAGGCACCCGCGAAAGCTGACTAGACACGATACTTTTGAACCAGGGAGCAGGATTTGACTGAAGAAAGCTGGACAGGGTTGATAATAGAACCGAGCTGGGTGTTCTGCTTTTCGTTAGTGGGCGAAGTACGGGCGAAGGCTTAGACATACTCATCAATCAGTCTAGAAAATATCTCGCGGTATTTTCCCTTCGTATTAAGATGTGGGATGCTCGGATTATAGGCCAAGTCTGCCGCAGCACTGACTAAATCGCTCAGGATACGACCACGAATAACCGGCTGTATGCTAGGTCTCCCATCGAGAAGTATATCTGATAGGATATCCATGATGCGCTCAAGAAGGAGCATATGCTGAGGCTTGTCATGCGCAATTTTGTCTTGTTGCTGAGCAATCACACCAGCAGGCAACACGGAAATGACTCTCTGCTGGAGAGGTATCCCTACTCCTGAAGAGAGTGAAGGGTAGACACCTTCAAGAGATATCAAGTCGAGCATTGCATGCAGCACTCTTCTTCGCTTTGCATCCTCGAGAGCAGCATCTTCCGATACATGATCGGGCTGAGGTGAACCGTGGGCTTGATCTACTGGCGTTACGAAGGCAACATGGATGCGAAAGAGTATGCCCAACGCCCTTTCAACAACGGCCGTCCTTTCAGAGCCATCATCTCCAGTCCCAACAGGTAAATGCTGGCTCAGGATCTCCAAAAGGGATTTCCCGCGATATTTCTGAATTTCCTCTTGCAGTTAGTCAGCATCAAAATTCAAAAGAAAAAAAATCGCCTCAACTGCTGAGTGGTGCGTGCCTCGCTGAAGGACTGGATTCAAGAACTCGTAAGCAGCATCAAAAGCCTTTTTGATACTCGTTGGATCTCCCATTATCTTTATGCCTTGCTCGGCTGGCGTCATGGACTCTTGTTCGCTGATGCAATCCGGCTGATGATAATGATGCGGCATATCAACACGTGAGATCTGTACGCCAACCGAACTGAGTTTAGCGCCATCGGCCCCGATCTATTCCCTTTTTAGAGAGGTACTGACACAGTGAGAAGCCCTCAAATCCCTTCATTACAAGTAGTTGACTATTCCATGTGGAAGCTTTGCTACTTCCTTGACTTTGCCATCCGCGCGCAAGATGCATACATCTATACTAGTAAAGCACATACTCTTTGAAGTAGAACAAAAAGAGCTTTCATGCAAACATGCAAATATTAGCTCTATGGACTATGGCGCAAGGATTACGATGTCATGGCATCCCCTTGGACGAAAAAAAGTAGAAGACGGTAAAGATATGTTCTACGGGAGGTGGGATCCTGAATCTGAATCATCGTAAGCATATTTTACGTAGCGTAACTCAACCGTCATATTTCTTCATAATTCAACCGATGTCTCATTAAGCTTCACTGTCGACCGATGCAGGCAGCGGCAAAATGACATTTCGCCGACCGAATTCACACGACTTTATTTTTGCCACTGCATTCTTTGTATTCCGGAAATATATCTTAGACAATTTTTCTAGCTAAGGTACTTACTGTCTAGTAGTATTCCATACTCATCGAGTATTCATTGGCATATCATGTCTGTCACTTACACAACGATCCCGCTCCAGGTCAAGGGCGTCAACCTTGACCTGTCCACGATCCACAGCCTTAACTCGCGGCCGCCAATTCTATTTCTGCACGGCTTCGGCTCCTGCAAAGAAGATCTAGCCGACCTAACCCTCCACCCGGCCTTACAGCAGTATGGGTTCATCGCCTTCGACGCGCCGGGTTGCGGGCAGTCAACAAGCGACAACCTGTCTGGTATAGACATTCCTTTCCTTGTGGCAACAGCAGAAGCGCTCCTCGCCCATTTCAATATCACCAGCTTTCACCTCATCGGCCACTCAATGGGCGGACTGACTGCGCTCCTCCTCGCACATTGCTATCCCGACCGAGTCCTAAGCTTTGTAGACATCAAGGGCAACCTTGCGCCGGAGGACTGTTTCTTGAGCCGCCAGATCTTCACTTTCCGCTCGGACGACCCGGAGGCATTCTTCGATGAATTTATCGACCGCACGCGCAAGTCAAAGTCCTTCGCTAGCGCTTTGTATGCCAGCACCCTTCGCGCGCGGGTGCGCGCACCGGCGATACGGCCCATCTTTGAGTCGATGGTTCACCTGTCCGACGAGGAGGATCTGCTGGGCATGTTCCTGGGGCTGCCGTGCCCGAAGATGTTCATGTTTGGGGAGGAGAATCGGGGTCTGTCGTATCTGGGGAGGTTGGAGAAGCAGGGCGTGGAGCTCGCTGAGATCTCCGAGAGCGGGCACTCTCCCATGTACTCCAACCCAGTCGAGATGTACCGTCGGATTGCGGTGTTCCTGCGCAGTATTAGTTTAGACTAGGTAAATATGCTGTAGATATAGAGCCGAATAAGACTATAGAACGAGCGACGAACGAATTGGCCGAAGAGTGCAACGGGGTTCGATGGGTGCCCTTTTCAACGTAAAGTGCTAACAGCCCTTAACGGACGCTTCAAATTCCTGCTATCACTTAGTCGTAGCAAGGTGAGTCTATGTTTTCATCTTTCTTTTTCATCATTCTAGCGCGCCGTTCTGGGAGCTACAGGACCGGTGGTAATCTCCGAGGCTGTACAGCCAGACATCCTTACAACACCAACAAGGCTATGTTTCACATCCTTTGAGGTACGAGGCAATTTTTTGTTTTGGCGGCTCTGTATCGAATTCAACCACACTTTTGTTTTTGTGGGCCAGTCCTGAAGAGAACCTTCCTGCTGACTGCTGCTTGGTTGGCTGCTTCGCCTGTCGCCATTGCAGAACAGCGTCTAAGGCTCAAAGTCCTCAGAGCCGACGACAGTGACTACAGCCGGCCTCGATAATGGGAGCTTCTTTCAGGCATATTGTCAATGACGATTGCCCTTGTGCAGAGGAGATCCGTCGAAAGACAGAATGATACCATGCCAGGCATAAGTGTGATTTCGGGCAGTGTAGCTTACAGGAGAGCCTATTCTACACCCACTCATATACGAAGCTGCTACCGAAACGACCTATTTTATTATGCAGAGATCGAGAATCTTCCCGTTACAACTGAAGCACCCTGCATCCAGCCAAATCAAAAATTGGAAGCGCTGGGGTTGCGTTGATCGAACGTTCTCCTCCCATATAAGCTGTGTTACTCTGGTTTGGCAGCAACAATGACATTGTGAAAAGCCTGCGCAACATAGTCCACGTTATGTTCAGTCACTATATGCGAATTAGCTTGTGGCGAAGGAGCTGTAGAAAAGTGTTTGTACGAACAGCCTGTCATGGATATTCTTCCCGAAGGAAGAAGATATATATGATATTCTTCTTTCAGTGCCCGGATCTGTGCTGGCTGCAAGCATGCCATTGAGAACATTCCAATCTGCAGAGTGTTAGCAAATCTAAGGTAAAGCAGGACACATCAAAGATGCACAAGAACTCACATCCGTCAATATGTGATCCCAAGAACCTGGTGTTTGACGCTTCCGAAGTGCTTTCACTAATCTTTCTCGCATTGACCTCATACGGTCCCTCATCTGGAACAGATCATTTTGCCACTGCCGCTCCAAGTCTTTGTCTCCAAGTACTTTTGCCACAATTCTAGCACCGTTGATAGGGGGTGTTGTTATCTCAGCGCGAGACAGGCGTCTAAGCATCTTGTGGACCTTCGATCTAGCGACTTCCGTCCGGCATACAACGTGGAGCGCGCCGACACGTTCGCCATACAAACCAAAGTTCTTGGAAAACGATTGCGCCACTAAAATTTCCAGCGACGTGTTGCGGAAGAAATGCCGTACGGACCACGCATCTTCAGCCAAATCTCCGGTGGCAAAGCCCTGGCTACAGGTGAATTTAAGCTTATTGAGCCGTTTTGAATTAGGGAAACGCCACTCACTAGGCCAGATCAAAGAAAGGAATAAGCTTTTTCTGTTCGCAAACATTGGCAATGGCCTTCCACTGATCCTTAGTGAAGTCGTGTCCAGTAGGATTATGTGCGCAGCCGTGCAAGACCACGACGTCACCCTCTGTGGCCTTCAGCTGGAGGGTAGATATGATCCCATTGAAATCGATAGTGAATGATTTCTTATCGAAGTACGGGTATGTCTGACGCTTGATGCCGCTGTCTACTAACCGCCAGATTTCGGGATGATTGATCCACGAGGGGTCCGAGATCCAGACTGTCCGAGGGCAGCTAGACTTGGCCAAAAGCAAGGCACCGAGGTGATTTGCCCCGGTCCCCGCAATAGTCTGGATGGAAGCGATGGTCTTGACCTCCTCGGGTGTTGCATCGAATACAAGTCTTTGGGCACTATCGAGCAGTTCAGGATGGCCGAGGATCGGCAAAGGTTCGTGATCCGCGGTCAGATCGCTTAGCAAGGCCTGCTTGGCCTAGAAAGACATATTTAGTAAAAGAACGATCATCCAGGCTGCAGTGATTAATGTTACCTTTCGTACAGACGGCAAGACCCAAGGCTTTGCATCTTCGTCACGGTAGATCCCCGGTGTGAGATCAACTTTCCACGGTGATGGATCTTCCTTGTACGCCTCCATCAAGGCGAAGGCAACGTCGAACGTTCCCTCGGAAAGACTAGCAAATCGAGACATCGACGAGGTGATTCACAGCGCGTCCGAGACGAAAGGGATAAAGTGGTAAAGGATCCACGAGTCAGGGCGGATGAGCCTAGGTATGGAAGTAGATAGCTGGAAACAGTCAAAGCAAGGGGTTGTGGCGCAGCACAACCCAATCCGTTATATCAAAAAAGCTTTCAACGCAGTGCTGTATGCTACGCGTATTTATAGCCAGTGCGAGTGAGTTACATGCCGCCATGTGTATCACAACTCCCTGCTCGCCCTTGCCCAGTCGAGCCTCGGCACACTGCCAATATACCGATTTGGATTCCGCAACACATACGGGGTGGTAACGGGGTCCCCGGACGTTGCTATCGGCTGGAGACTTCCAGCAATCGGTATCGGCATAGTTCGCCGATCCCGATATGATAGTGAAGCTTTGATTACTTTCTGGTGAATAAAAGCCCTGCCATTACTCACTAGAGACATTTTTTCATCGACGACTTTCGTGATTTCGATTACCAACCGAAGTCGACACTATGAGTCAACCTAGCATATTGGACCGACTTTCGGCGCTCGACACCAATACAGTGTCCGATGCCTTGGATTTTTTAGGCCTTCAAGGAGCCACATACGGCCTGCGGCCACTCTGGGACTGTCCGAAGATTGTTGGACGCGCAAGCACAGTGAAAGTGGGCCCAAAGACTGATGCTGCTCCCACGGCCCATCTTCTCACCCCAGTCATAGATGCGGTAAAGACGGATGATCGCATTCTCGTCGTCTCCGGAGGCATAGATGGCATCTCGTGCTGGGGTGATATTCTCGCCAATGCCTCGAAAGCGAAACGCATCCGTGGAACCATTATCGATGGCATGAGTCGTGACATCGACGGCAGCCGTGAGGTCGGCTATCCCGTTTACGGTCGTGGCGTGACTATGATCAGCGCGCGCAATCGACTGGTGCAAGTTGATTCCGGTACACCGCTGCAGATACGCGGCATCATGGTCAACCAAGACGACTATGTTATCGCCGATAGATGTGGGACAGTGTTCGTCCCGGCGAAGCGCATTGAAGAGGTCCTGGAATTGGGCGAGCAGATCGACCGTCGCCAGAGCCTTATGATCCAGGCCGTTCGAGCCGGTCAACCTGTGTCAGAGGTCATGCATGACACGCAATTTGAAGCCATCCGCGAGAGTACACCGTCATTAACAGTCGCAACACCCGCGCGATCTTCCACTCGAAATCCCAAGAAAGCTAGTGCCGAGGATCAAGAGTTGGTAGCGCTGTTCGCCGATTCAGACACCCCTGGGGTCTCTGACGCGCTTGATAAGCTTGGGATTCCGGGACAGGCGTTCGGTATTATGCCTTTGACAGACTACAAAAAGGTCACCGTCGGGCCGGCTTTCACTGTTCGTTATGTACCCGCCAGCGAGCCGCCAGGAAGCGTTGGCGATTTCATCGACGACGTTGCCATCGGCGATGTGGTAGTCATCGACAACGGTGGTCGCACCGATTGTACTGTTTGGGGCGACATAATGACTCAGTACGCCGGCATACGAGGCGTTGCTGGAGCTGTTATCGACGGTGTGTGCCGCGATGTGAACCGTGCGATCGAAGATGACTACCCGCTTTTCACCGCTGGACGTTGGATGCGAACCGGCAAGGACCGGGTTCAAGTGGGAGGGGTCAACGAGTCGATCGGCATCGGCAAGGTACGTGTCAACCCTCGCGATATCGTTGTTGCCGATGCAAACGGTGTCGTTATTGTTCCGCGCGATCGAGCGCGTGAGGTGGCCGAAATCGCACGAAGGATCGAGCAAAGTGAAGCCGGCATCCGAGAAATGATCGCTGGCGGAGCCACAATCTCAGAGGCGCGAGAGAAACTCGGTTATCACACGCTGCAGCGTAAGGGATAAGGGTTAGCAGAAAATGGTTTTCTGACGAAGAGACATGGTGAACATAAGTTGCTTCCTCTGGATTAGCTAACACTCTTCCAAATTACAAGATTGATGTCAAGAGAAACAGCCAGTTTCAGTGCCTGATTTCCCATCACTTAACGTTGGGGTGTAATCTTCTACTTTCCTTGATTCATCCTTAGGCAGTTATACCTGTCTCATATGCACCATTCAAACTAAAGCCTCAGCTTTTGAGAGAGCTAGCTGATAAATTCTCCTCTATAATAAAAAGGGTTCACTAAGACTAATGAACCGGCCTCTGACCCTTCAAATCTAGCAACTGGAAAATGAACAAATACCGGTGGATATGCCATGTAACTTTACATACTCTACGCTAAGCTGGCACTGAGCGGGCTCTAAGTGGAACCTAAACTAGCTAAATGAGGATGGCCTATGAAGGTTGCAAGGCTTAGGTTGTCTTGCGCCCAAGTCCTGTTCCTTGTGGGACTGGATCTCTGGTTTCGGCGTCGGCGTTGAGCTCAGCTCGGGCTAAATCTGTTTTCCCGATACTGAGTACTGAGTAACTCGATCTCGATTGCTCTCCCATTAAAACCCCCATTGCGACTATTTTCAGATGAAATTTACAAGTCGTTCTCGACATAAATATCGCTGCCTATTATGTCAGCCGTCTTCATTGCTCGTTTCTTTCTATTCCAGCGCGGTCTTCTTCAGACGTCCCCATAATCTATCGGAAGAAGCTCCTAACGCAGAATGTTATACTCATCAGCCATGACAACCTCGATTTACAACCCACGTTTGCGCCTGCTAAATGCTCTTCGAGCCACTTCGAAGCCTATTATAACCTTTTTAGGGCTTCCATCCTTTCGCACAGCCCAAATCGTAGCCCAGACCGGCGTTGATGTCAGCGTTTTCGTCCTATGGTTTATATTCTCACTAATTATCGTAAAGGGCATCATCATCGATTGTGAGCATGGCCATATCAGCGACGATTCCATGCACAGCGCAACTGCCGCTATTGCTGCTTTGGGAGTGTCGCCTCTTGTTCGTCTTCGAATGACTCACGCGGATTTGATCAAACGAGCATTGGATGCTGGTGCACAGTAAGCGGCACCAATATCTGCCATTCCAGTTACTAAAAGTGTTACAAGCGGCATCGTTGTACCTCAGATCAATACGGCCGAAGAAGCCAGGACAGTTGTCTCTCATTCAAAATTCCCTCCACAAGGACTTCGAGGACAAGGCTCAGCGTTTCCAGCCATCGCTCATGGCACCGACATCCCGACATACCTGAAAACAGCGAACGAAACGCTCATCACCTGTGTTCAAATTGAATCGAAAGCTGGGGTCGAGAATGTTGACGCTATCTGTGCTGTACCTGGTGTCGGTTAGTGATTACCACAAAATCTGAAGAATGGTTTCGCTAACTACTATCAAGATATGATTTTCATTGGGCCGAATGATCTTGCCCTATCGATCCTTGGCTATCTTCCTGCAAAAGAAACCGAGCCTGAATTTGTCGACGCCATAGAAAAGATTGTGACAGCAGCCAGGAAGCATGGGAAATGGGTTGGTCGATTATCAAACAACGGGGCGTTGTGCAAGGAGCATCTGAAAGTGTTTGATACTGTGGCGATGAGTTACGATATTCGGGCAATTCAAAACTGGTATACAACTGAATTGCAAGTTGCGCGCTCGTGAATGCCCTTTACGGGATAGACGAGAGTATGCATCTGCCTGAATGGCTGTGTCATATTTGTCATTCTACATCCAGGGTTGGGATGTATAGGTTCCCTTGAATATAATACTTGAAATGGTGCAGTAATACAATGTCTTGACTCTAAGCGAATACTCAATACTATCATATTTAATGTGAATCCCGGTGAGGCCGTTGCAATCTCCCCTCAGCTAATCCCCAGCCGTGGCTGCATGCTATTGATGGGCATCAAAGCGCTTAGTGCGGCGATAGGCAGAGTGCATGGACATATAGCTCGGAGGCTGGGACTAAGTAGGCCGTATGGGGGAAAGAACACGGTGAGTGGCATGGACGCCAATTAAGGGAAGTCCTAGAGTGCTTGGGTAGGTAGGTAAAGTAGATTCTCGTTAACCCTGACCCGTCGCCGAAGCGGAATGCAGCCTATCACACCTCTATGTATCCCCATACGTACGTGGAGAGTGCACTACTTCCTAGAAACGAACATAGATCCTCGTCGAGGCCTATTCAAGAGATATCTTACAAGGTAATGCAACGATGTGATTTCTTTTAGCATATCTGGACTGGAACAGTCAAGGACAGCTTACATGACGCTGCCCATTGACTGCACGGTTCAAAAAAGAGCTCCAGCCTTAATGAGTATGTCCTAGAAACAAGACATGAGTGAAAGGTAGGTGGAAAACTTGGCTTGTCCGGGAGAACTATCGGCAAATCAAGAACTCCAGTATAAATTTCGGTCAGCATGCCATCGACCTGAACCGAATCCCTCTTCCAAAGTATCTTTCGTGCAGACAGAGATGGCACACTAACAGCCTTTATATAGTGGGCGTAATGCGCGTTTAAATCAGATTGGTCCATCAAATTGGGGTAATCCGACCAGGGCTCAACAGCAAACGATGTGATTGCGTTAAGCTCTAAACGAGCTTTTCGAAGGTCTGGTAGAGGACGACCGTTTGCGGTCTGATATTGGAAATTTATCCTGACGCTTGTGGTGAGTTTGTCTGATGTTGAGTTTGTCTGACTAGGGGGGCAATAATGAATAGCCGCTGGTTGTGTGGCATGTGCAGAGAGATGGCCAATTCGTCGCCGACGTATCCCTTCGGTAACGAATCTACGCCAGCTCATGCGATAGAGTATGTTATCTTCGGTGATCAGAAGAGGTGGCTGTTCGATGCGAGGAGAGTGTATATGTATCAACTGTGTCCATTCCCCGATTGTTCGCGGTTCGCCATGTTTGCGGGTCTTGAATATGCGGAAAACGATGCGATACGTAATAGAAACATTCGCAGGAGTCAAGTTATCGGAACCCTTATAATCATAAAAACAATTTTGTGACTCAGGACCCAAACTTGGAGGAAGTTGTGTGTGTTCCCAATGTATTTGCAGATGGTACCGGGGGTGCTTGCAGGTATGACTCAATAGCGTCATAGGCAAGTGAAACTCGAACCGTGTTTGATTTTGCTTTCCGGGCTCCAGAATAGCAGAGTTGGTTATTTCCAAAGGCTGTTCTAAATAAAGGAACTTTTGCTCTGCAGCTGACCAGGGGACGGGGATGTTAGTCTCATTGTCGTCTATTTTGACCTTGGCCCTGCCTGTGTACGTATCAGTGTACTGCCGTCCGGATTTAGCTCGAGATTGTCAAAGCGAACCTTCTAGCGAGACACTCAACTGGGCCAGGGACAATGGTTGTGACGGAGTAAATGTTACTGTGCCCTGAATGCGGTCGTTGACGCTGTATATTCTGTTGTCCCTATTTAATTGAAACTGGACATTGGAGCAAAGCCGCTTGAATGCCTTTGCCATTCCTGCAACACAGTTGATTGACTCCAGCTCCTAATGATGCAACTGAGTAAAGGAAAAGGTATAGAAACGTTGTACTTTTATTTCTTCCAGTCTGCAGCATTCTTGCATATATACCAATTTTCAAGACAAGATTGTCGGCGACTTGGTATTTTCCCGAACCTATGTATTCCCTAGCTCACTGCCTCCCAAAACAGCGAAAAGAAATTGGCCCAGAATGATCTAATTATTCAATGAATAATCGTCATGTGCAAAGAGCTTCCCCCGCAAGACCATCATAAGCCAAATGGTAGATGGCTTGATTATTATCCCAGAGCGCCGTATCCCCTCAAGCCAAACTCATTTTACTTGTCATCAATTTTCCCCGGAGTACTTCGGCCCAAACTGCAGTTCTCTCCGAGAGTCTACTGAACGTCGAAGTTCAGTGATCTCAGTGGCGAATGCTCACCCTTTTTCCCGTTGAAACGACCCAAAATTTTGTCCGGGTCCTCCCCCTCGGCAAACTTACAAGTTGCCGAGTGTGGTTTTGCGCTCCTGTCTCGACTTCCGTCTCCCTTCGTTTTCCAGATACACGATTTTCAAATATAGTAATAATAAGGGACTTTATCGACTGAAAACTTCAGCCTTCCCAGGCAATGCCTATTCACAAATATCAGCCCAAACGGCAGAAGAAAAAGCCCGTCGCGTGCGTCATAAGCGCCCCCTTCCAACTGCTTGCTCCCCTCTCTTCTGCTCTGCTCTAACTTCTGGAAGCTGCAATCGATGTCATACTCACAAAGTTAGATGTTCCGGTGAACAGCCATGTGCCCGATGTCGTCAAGCTGGCTGTGGTGATCTGTGTGAATATCAGCAACGTGACAGGAAGCTCAAGGTCAATGAGAGGTAACACCTCCTGCTCTTACAGCCGACACTATCCAATACACAATTCTCACTTTCGCCTAGCTACATTGATCAGATCCTCCTTGAGAACACTCATCTCAAAGAACGATTGGAAAATCTCACTTCTTCTCGCCCATCGCCTGCCACTTCAGACCGCGTCTCATCTTATCCTCAGGGCCCTTATCACACAGTCCAAAACCCACTGCTAGGAGAGCGTGCTTGGTTCTATCCTTACGATCCCTCAGCTCCTCCTATATATATGGGAGCCGCTGCCTGTACGGCCTTCGCGACGCGATTGCGGCAATTTCTTACCGGAAACCCGAATGCAGCTCACATTGCTCGAACTCAATACACACCAGAGGCATTACTACTCCAGGGAGAGACCCAATGGCCGGGCCTGCCACAAGCTCGTTTACTCGTCCGCATTGCATTCAACCAATTAAGCCGCGTATATCATCTTTTCCTGCGCAAATCTACCCTGGAGCAATTGGAGTCAATCTATCGAGACCCATCTAAGCAGGATGATCCGTCTTTGACATGCAAATTTTTCGCTCTTTTCGCCTTAGGGGAAGTATACTCCTCTCGATCTGATCCTTCGACTCAAGGTCGTGTGCCAGGTACCAGATATTACGTTCGAGCAATGAATTTGACACCCATTCTACCAGAGCGGCCTGCGTTGATTCATATCGAAAGTCTGTTGCTATTGGTCTGTACCCCCATCACTATACAATGCCTTGCACGTTCGACTATACTAACACGCATCCCTAGTCTCTTTTTTCATACTTCCTCAATCGACGTCATGCAGCGTACACGTTGATTGGCAATGCCATGCGTCTTGGTCTGATACTAGGATTGAATCATAACATCTCTGAACGCCAATGCACGGATCCCACAGAGCGACAGCATCGAATTCGGCTCTGGTGGGCGATATATGTCTATGATCGTATGTGGTGTTCCAAAATAGGTTTCCCACTTCAGATCCGAGATGATGATATTCATGTGGACATGCCGTCCCAAGTCTCTTGCCCTGCGTATGAGGAGCAGTTCTCCGATACTGCATACTTGGTCGCCAGTATTCAGCTAGCTCGAATCGTCGGTCAAGTTATTGACAAAATCTACAGTCACAAGCAGCATCCAGAGTCGTTCTTGCAAAGAGAACAGCAACTGTTGCTTGCTCAGCAGGAGTGGCTGCAGTCACTCCCAGCACACATCAAGCTACACACTGATGGAGGTCCCCCACCGAAGCATATCGTCTCTCTTCATCTGCAGTTCAACCAGGTCAGTTTACTCACATCAGCAAGTCTATCAATTTTACTGAAGACTTATAGTGTGTCATCTTGGCTACACGTCCTATTATTCTTCACGCTCTTCTCCATCATCGAGGTCATCGAGAAAATAGCGAAGACCTCCCCCGGCCTGTCATTACCCTGAGTGAAGCCTGTATCCATGCTGCACGGCATTCGCATGCTCTCATCATCGAAGAATGGGTCAATGGCTCTCTGCCTATGTACGGATACTTCTATGCTCAGTACTTGTTCTCTTCTGCCACAGTTCTTGTCATATCCGGACTTCTGCCAGCTTTCGGCAACTCCGCGGATCTTGACTCCCTTGAGGTAGCGATTGAAATATTGTCTCGTATGAGTGATCATGGGAACCTTGCGGCGGCGGAATTTTACGAGAATCTCAAGCAAGTCAAACAATCTTTACCAGGCGATGTCGGTAAAAGTGTCGAGAAAGCCGGTCAATTACCCCGACAATCGCTCCGAACGTCTTTCTCGCTCCCTCCAACAGGAGACCAGGCCATCGAAAATGGTGGCGTTTCACCTCTCCCCATTGCAGGTTTTACCACTGAAATGGCCTTTTTGGAGCCAATGATGCAGGACTTTCTCGGTATTCCCGATAATGAGATTGAAGCCATCCATCCCGATTTACTCACTATCGGAGAGTCAACTGGGGAGGATTTTTGGCCAACAACATTTTGGACGTCGTAATCAAGTTCTCAAACACATAATAAAATCCTTCCGCGAGATAGTACCAAAACTTAGAGAAACTTGGATATGTTCTATGGGGTTGATCTCCGTAATCAGTCTTAATAGCCTCGTCTATAAATACTCGCTTCTCCCACTTCTTCTCTCTATAGCCGAGCTCCGCATCTCTGGATCCAGTCTAGGGAAGCGGGGAAAGTGGGGCAAGGGTCTCCTAACAGATAGACTTAATCATACTGAGAGTACCTTGTATGGGGTAATACTGCATATCGACATACTACCCTGTTTATGAAAGAAATAGTGGTTCGTGATGAAAGAGAGCGAAAGCTCTTCAGAGAGATTAGAGTAAGCTTACAGACGCAGAAACGAGTCCTACTTGGATTCGGCTGCGACAGCATGATTTCATCATGGTTATCATGATTGACTATTACTATCGATGCACAGAGGATAAGGGAAGAAAGAAAGATGATATAAACAAGTCCAGGTATTAAGTAGAATACTAACGGGACGTTTGTTCCCGTCCTGGTCAGACGAGGGGCCATTCGGCAACAAACGCAAACGCCATACGAACCCGACCAGCATTCGCCTTATATTCCTCCGCAGAGATCCCCCTGCAGTCTTTCCGATCGTTAAACTCAGTCAGGGCCACTATTTGGAGCTTCTGCCCAGGCGCACCCAGTGTCCTGGGATCCTTGAGATCGATGTACCAGAACTCTGGCCCACTGCCCCGAACATAGGTAAAAGGAATAAGTTCGTCTTTCCGTCCATCGAGACCGTGGGTCCACAGCAGAAACAAGCTAGGCTGGACCTTTCCGTGACGCTCCAGCGTGAAATGCTCACAGGTGAGACCGAACTGAAAGCGAAGTGGTCCCGGCTGGTAAACCGAGATCTGCTTGGCAGCCGGTAGGAAGCTGCGTTCGTTAATGAAATGGCTTTTTAGGTCGAAAGTCTTTGGCTGCTCAATGCCAAATGGGACCTCGGGGTCCATGGTGATATACTCCTCCCAGCTCATTTGCCGACCACAGTCGAAGTGGTATCGCTGTTCTGGGAAATGTTTTAAGCTGAATTCTTCATTCGTCATGGTGAACAAGGTTGGGTTGAAGAGTTTTTGATATGGTTGTCCTGGTCCTTGAACTACTCCAGCGCCCCAGCACACATCGATCAACTTCCATTGCCCATTATCGATACGGACTGCATTCCATGCATGGCCTGCGCGGTAAGGAGGAATACTCTGCCCTGGTCCCAAAGGCTCATAGCCGTAGCCCTTGCCGTGGCCACCGATCACGATTGCTTCCAATCCAGCATGGGTTGCGAGGGCTGCAAAGAGCCCGGCGTAGCCCTCGCACACGGCCACCCCAGAAGCAAGAGTACTGGCCGGTGTCGATGGCTTCACACAGTTGTTGAAAAATGCATCGGCATCGTAGCAAATATTATGATGACACCAGGTGAACAAAGCTCTAGCCTTGTCTGTCAGTGAAGGGAATGGTGCTGTAAGCTCGCGGGCCAGCCAGGCAAGATCATGTGTTGGAAGAGTCTCTCGCGGAAACCTGGCGGCGTGCGAGTCGGGGCCGGAAAAGTCTCGGCATTTCAAGCACATCGCTGTCGAATCCGCAGTCGTAGTGTTTGGCTGTACACGCGGTTTGGTAGCTAGTAGTTTGGAAAGGTCCGGCTTCTCTGGTCTTGACGCAATAGGGACCGGAGGCGGCGCACCATTGACTGTGGAGGGCGCAGTTTTGTTCAGTCCTCCAAAACCTGACTGTTGCAATTTGCCCAGAGCAGAGTCCGAAGGGAGAGGCGGAGGCAGCTTTCTCGCCGGCCTAGTTTCGCATTCTGCGCTTTGCGACTGGCCCTGACTGTCTCGGGACGGGAGCCGCGGGGGCGGCCGAGGTGCTGCGTCACCACTCTTCAGATTGATGTTGCTTGATGCTCGACGGATGGGCAAGGCAGGTCGAGCAGAGGGACGCGACGGCGGTTCTCTTATCGATGGCAATGGAGGCGGTAGACTACCTCTGCTCTGTGTTGTTGTCGGTTTCGGCCGTGAAGGCGCTTCAGGACTTTTCGCTTCCTCTCTTCTCGGAGGAAGGACGGGCAACTCTGCCTCATCGTATCGAGGTGCGCGCACCGTACGAACGTTCCCAGATTCACTTGAGGAAGATGATCGGCCTGGTACAGGTCTCCCCACACCTGTCGATACGGTTGACCGGGACGTATCGGACGCAGCTGATTCAATAGAATTCACCGAAGGCCTGCGTGGTGGCAGCGCTGGCGCAAGTTGCTGATTGGAAGCTTTCCGTGTTGGCAGCGGCGGGGGCGCCTTGGGTTTCTGGGTGATCGACGGTTTTGGGGCCAGTGTAGGGGGTGCTGCTGGCTCATTGCCGATCACCGAGCGCTCAATGACAGAGCCATGGCCGTTGACCGGAGGGTTGTTGATTGTTTTGGCTCGAAACGAAGATGGCCGTGATTCTTGCGCTTGTTTGAGCGCCTTGATCCTCTCCTGAATCGTCAGGACTGGTGTTTCTTCCGCCATATCCTCAGTTTTATAAGATGCAATTAATGCATATATCCAAGCGCGACAATACGACAACAAATGCTAGTAATCTAACGCGCCCTCGAGAACGCATCCAATGACGACATCCAAAAGACTCCTAGGCAAATGGGAAGAAAAGGAGTGAATATTGTGTTGGAAGAAGCGGAAGGCCACTAATTTATAGGCCACCCATACTTGCGGGCCCCGCGCTCTTGAAACAAGGCTGAGAGCCTCTGACTGTTTTCTAAGGCTCGCAAGGCTGACTACCAAGAGCTTGAGGTACGGGCCGTTTTTTCCTCGAGGCGACCAAGTGTTATTTCTTTGACTGCATCCATGGAGAACCAGCGCAACCGGTTCCTGGCGCCTATGGGCGAATCACATGTGTTTTCCCCCCACCTCAAGGTTCGGACCCCACAAGGCTTGAGAACTGGTGCCTGAGGTATCTATATCAACCGAAGGGCGAATTTGACGCGACCGAGACTTGACGGGATTCATGTAATTAACCTATCTGAACACAGAAGTACCATTGACTAGAAATATTACCGAGAAGAAAGAGAAAAGCCGGCTCCGATGATTGTACCCCAGAACAGGCCTGCGTTTCAGCTTAACAGTCAGGAAGACAAAAGCGCCACATTCGAGCACAAGAGAAAAGAAGTTTAGACACGAGATGAAGGCAAGGATTAAAACCCATGAGACAATACGCAACCCAATGCTGTGGACAAGAGAGAGGAAATAAGAAAGAACAAAAGAGAAAGGGCAGGATATGCAGGGAAAGTGGGCAAATCGACCGGCAGATTCGGTTTGACACTTCCAGAGTCAATGGACCCCTCTGGCTCACCCATTCTACAACCCAAGAATGACGAGCAAAGGTATTTCGGGTCATCGTCAACATCACTTCATCCCAATATACATGACAATCGTACCACTTCTGTGTTGCCGTCGTTATGTTCAAACATTCTTATAGAGTAAGAGGGGCTCGCCAATGTTTTCGATCTCGGGAATGGTGCATTTCAGATCAAAGGCTTTGGCAAGGACAATCTTAAAGATCTACACTGTCTGTTAGTATGGCTCGAGCTCATATCCGTGCGATCATACCTTTTGCACATTGATGCTGTGACTGGTACTGCTGAAGATCAAGCTCGCTTTCATCGCCTTAGCGAATCTCTTGGCCTGAGGAGTCATCAGCACATGCCCGGTCAGATCATTCCTGGTCATCCGTGCCTACCTGAATGGAAATCTCTTCTTGGTCTTCTCGAGGAAAGTTGACGAAGTGGTCATACTTGGTGCCAACCAGGAAAGGAATAGCTGTCTTGTTGAATCCACGGCCCTGACGGTACCATTCCTTGATTGAATTCAATGTGCTCTTGCGAGTGAGATCAAACATGAACAGAATAGCGACGGCATCATTGCACACAAGCGGAAGCATGTTGACGAATTCGCGTTGACCGCCCAGATCCCAGATCGAGAAAGTGATCTCCGTATTTCTGATGGAGATAGTTTTTTCCATGAAATTTACCCCTGTCGATAACGTCAGAATATGTCCAGCACGAGTCCAGGGGAGTAACATACCCAAGGTCTGGATATAATCTTCGTCCCAGCTGCCCTCCACGTACTTGACCATCAAACTTGTCTTGCCAATTTGAGCATCCCCGACCATTCCAACCTTGATCACCACACTGTTCTTCGTCGGCTGGGACGGTTGTTTCTGACTGACATCTTGAGAGGTTTGCGAAATTCCTTGTCGCTGTTCAGGCCCGCTAGACAATCCGGAACCCGGCCGCGATGATGACGGTGGTCGTGGTTGTTGGGTTAACGTCGGAGACGCGGTGAATTGAGATTGATCATTCTCTTGGTTTCGAGATTCATGTGCGGATGGGGAATCGAAACCGCCAGTGTGTGAGGCGTAATGAGCGCGGGAGTCGCTGCTGTATCCATTGTGAAACTCCGGAGGTCCCATTCCCTCCTCCGTAGCCGCCAATCCGGGGCCAGACATCTCAAGGTTCTGTTGGTGACCGGTTTCTGCGACATCCGGGACATCAGGTACAGGCTGCGGTACGTCCATGTCGCAAATCGTAAGCTGATCAGGAATGACTCGGCGACCTGAAATGATACGTCTTCCGTTAATTCTCCGATCGCCTGGCAGAGCGGGGAGCACGAGGGAAGCTGAAACTGACTTAGTTGCGCAAATGCCGGTGGAGGCAGGCTTTCTCAAAGCCGCATGAGATGCGGTTCGGCAATTAAAGATCGAATACTTGGGCGATTTGAATTTCAGGTTTGATAAGAATGACTTGAACGAAGGAGGAGGAAGATCACTCGATGGAGCTTTTGTTTGTTTTTGTTATGCCTCTGCTGGAACAAACGACGTGGGCGGTAGCTGAACCAGCAGACCAGTAAGCAAGGGAATGGACGACTGAGAAATGACGAGCAGCGCTCGGGTCACAAATTAGCAGGCGACAAGAACAGCAGGGCTTGATTGAGATGGACGAGGTTCTCGGAGACCCTGATGGCCATCGGCATCAAGTCGAGTAGTCAACACAGCCGCATCCAAACGAAGCGGCCCGATCTACGCTAACCCGCGATAGGCTTAGCGCGCATCCCACCTCAATCTCTGGACGAGAAAAAAAAGTTCCTGAACCCTAATCACTGATTCCCATCAAGCAACAGGCGTCTTTTTCATCCTGTCGCACGACTGGCTCGTGGACACATCTACCGGGGTATTCACACCGTAATTACGACAAAATGTCCAAAAGAGCTGCCGACGCGTCTGAGGAGCACTCCGCTGCCCTCAAGGCCGGAGAGCGGCCGGTCGCCGATGACATTCCGGATGAGGTGGGGGAGTTTGAAGATGAGTTCGAGGATGAATTCGAGAGTGAGGACGAGATTTTGGAAGCAGGCGTCGATGGGAGACCTGATGCGGAGCGCGAGGAAGAGGAAAAAGGTTTGTCAGCCGGTTTTCTGTCGCTAGAAATTGCTACTGACTGAAATGCGATGACAACAGACGCTATGGAGGTTGACAAGCAGACATTTATCCCTGGAAGAACAAAACTAGCTCCTGGAGAGGTACTGTCTCCGGATCCGTCTACGTACGACATGTTACACACGCTCAGCACACCATGGCCTTGCCTCTCATTTGACATTGTGCGCGATTCCCTTGGCGACAACCGAAAGACATACCCTGCGACGGTCTACGCAGTTTCTGGTACACAGGCGGCGGGAGGAAGATCAAAGGAGAACGAACTGCTGGTGATCAAGATGAGCGGTCTCAGCAAGATGGAGAAAGAGAACGATACAGATTCGGAGAGTGATTCTGATTCAGATGATGATTCCGATGAGCCGATTCTCGAGTCGAAGAGCATTCCTCTCGGATCAACAACGAACAGAATCCGCGCCCACCAAACCCCTTCCCAGTCCGCGGACTACTCCAGGCCGCCACAGACCATCACGGCGACCATGCTCGAAAACTCCCAGGTCGTCATCCACGATGTGACTCCTTATCTGACCAGCTTCGACGTCCCTGGCACAGTATTGCCTCCTTCAGCCTCCAAGCCGCTCTCAACCCTGCGCATGCACAAGTCCGAGGGCTACGCTCTGGACTGGTCCCCACTCCAGCCCCTTGGAAAGTTGTTGACTGGTGACAATGACGGATTCATCTACGTTACAACACGCACTGAAGGAGGAGGTTGGGTCACAGACTCCCGGCCATTCACCGGCCACACATCTTCTGTCGAAGAGCTACAATGGTCACCAAATGAGCGCAATGTGTTTGCTTCCGCCAGCAGCGACGGAAGCGTGAAAGTCTGGGACGTCCGGTCAAAGTCACGCAAGCCCGCCGTTGACGTCAAGGTCTCCAACACAGACGTCAATGTCATGAGCTGGTCGAACCAGACCTTCCATCTCCTTGCCACGGGTGCTGACGATGGGCAATGGGCGGTCTGGGATCTGAGACACTGGAAGCCGAATGCGTCCGCCCCGTCGGCACAGATCAAAGCATCGCCAGTCGCAGCTTTCGACTTCCATCGTGAGCCCGTCACCAGTATCGAGTGGCACCCCACAGACGACAGTGTTGTTGCTGTCGGTTCTGCCGATAATACCGTCACCCTCTGGGATCTGGCTGTGGAGCTTGATGAAGAAGAGAGTCGCGAGGCTGGCCTGGCTGAAGTGCCTCCCCAGCTGTTGTTCGTTCATTACATGGAGTCTGTCAAGGAGGTTCATTGGCAGGCTCAGATGCCTGGTACCGTCATGGCGACAGGCAGCTCTGGATTCAGGTAAGTCCTTAGTTGGAATCCTTTTTTGTTGTATGACCTAATGCTGACTCCTTGCAACAGTGTCTTCAAGACGATCAGTGTGTAAATAATCGGCATGCGCATGTGGCACTTGACCTTCTTGAAACGACGATACCAACAGTCTTCTACGCTGTCATTTGATGAACATATTTATAGATTCTTACATAGGGTAGTACAGCTCGGGATTGAATGAATGATTATGACGTGCATCAACGAATCTCTATCCAGGATCGACTATCTGTCTGGAATGGCGCTCAAGGGTGTAAACTGAGAACGTAACTGAGCCCGTTCCAGCTATAGCTGCAGTCTGCCCTACCTTCGAGTAATTTCTAATTTTCCCGTTAGGGGAGCAATTCTGAACATTTGGGGTGGCAGTGGTATATATATCGATATGACAGGCCGCTTCACTCTTCATGAGCCAAGTAATTACAGGATTATAATGACGACATCTGACACAAGATAAAAATCGTCTACCACTTTTATGTCATGATAATCCCATAGCAGAGCATGTAATCCATCGATGAGACAAATCGGTAGTGGATTTCTGGGGAAATGCGGGCGAACCAATCATTGGCAGGGTGTTCTACTAAAGATGCGGGGAAGCCTACTCCAAAAAGAGCCCGTGATTCCAGCAACACTTTTGGTCAGTTCTTTTTCGCTGATGCCGTCGAAAGAGATATCAGACGGCAAATCTCCATATTTGGCCTGCAGACTGATACAGGCATTGTCCATGTTGCCGTCTGGCCCTGACTTTGTCCCCGCAGAGCTCAGCGCTCAACGTCATTCACCCCGCAATCGGCCATGAGAATCGGAAAGGGCTGCGAGCGCTGTCGCCATCGTCATATTCGGTGCACAATTCGGAAAGGAGCATCATCTTGTAATCCCTGTTCGCGCTTGGGACGGGTGTGTCGGCTCGATCCGCCGTTTCGGTTTAGAACTGTTCATCACGTCTATCAGAAGAGCCATGGGACAGCGTCTAAATTCGATCTTGTTTGGGATCCGCATCAGACTTGGGTGAAGACTCCTACGTCATGTATTCTCCTTCCTTATCCTTCATCCCGTGAACCAGAGTTGCTAATGATATCAGTGACATTCGTCCTTGAAGCGGCAGATGATTCTGCGGAAGGGGAAGAGACAGATGCGCCGCAAGACTCTCACGATGAAGCACCGCCTTCAGAACAGATTCCAGCAACACCTAGTGCTGTATTTCCGGATATAGCATCTCTACTCCTACCAGGACCAACGAAGCCTTACGATTCAGTGATTGAAAGCCACCCGCTAGACCTCCCAGCACCTCCCCCATCGATACCTGACGAAACCCAACTGATACTTCCCTCATCTACTGCCATCTCGCCAAATGCACTGAATAACATAGTTTCTCCTTTGCCATCAACAGCATGGACAGATGCGACATCCTCATGGAGTCCGATAAGCCCGCGGGCGATCGCTTCGCCAAAGTTGTCCTCGCGAGAGGCATACTTGTTACGTTCTTTCATCTCCAAGATAGCTCCTTGGGTATAGAAGACCCCCACATATATTGATAGTGCATTCTGACTTTGACAGACCGACATATGCGACTCGCGCTCTCATTTTTCAACCGAGGTACCACGCCGGGCATTGGAAGTGCCTATGGTCCTCAAGGCCGTTCTAGCTCTCGCAGCCAGACATGACGCCATCCTGTCGGACTCTAGCGACTGGGAAGCCGCCGAATATCACGGTCAGTGTCTGGAGCTCTTGATCGCTGCGCTGGCGCAGCCGGAGGATACATACGACGACAACCTCCTTATCACGGTCGTGATTCTCCGTATCTACGAGGAACTGGAAAGCAACAACGACGAGAAGTACCATTTGTTCGGCTCAAACCGCCTCCTCAACACCATGTCCAGATCAGCGTCATCCGGGGGCCTAGCCGAAGCAGTGAGCTGGCAGTTCCTGCGGCAGGCGATATACGCATCTGTCGTCCAGCATCAACCTATGCAGCTGGACCTGGAGAACTATGAGCGCTCGGCTGTCTTTCATCGCCGCGACGATGCTGCGTATGCCAATGTCATCATCTACCTCTGTGCTCGGATTCTGCAGTGCGGAGGAGCGCATACTCGTGGCATGGACGAGAAGACATGGCGCCAACTCTCTGATAGTGTCGAGCAATGGCATCGAGCAAAGCCAATCAGTTGGCAACCGTTGAAGTACAAACCAGCGGACGTTGCGGAGAATCGACCGTTCCCTGAGATATGGATGATGTCTCCGCCAGCAGGTATGCGTCCTACCCGATGAACCGAAATGTGCTGACAGTCGTAGTGGTCGGAATGCAGTACTATCACACCTCCTGTATATTTCTCACTTTGTCAAATCGACACTGGCAAGCTGCGAGCGACTACGAGCTGGCTCGTTCGCAACGTATAGTAGAGGTAAGAATGTACAAATATTGGGAAAGACCGCTACTGACGGGTTAGAATACAATCGCATCACATCTTAACATGGTCATCGGCTTGTCCATGTCAAATGAGACAGTCGAGAATGCATACTTTATGGCGTGCCATTTATTACACCGCTGTACGTTTCTTGTCTGAGCTTTCTAGACCACGCTGACCGTGGTAGATGGGTACTGCCTGCGACATCCTCTCGAACAACGCGGGTCATTACGCTTCTTGGCCCATGTGGAAAAGACAGTGGGTTGGCGGACGCGATGGATGATACGCGAGCTGGAGAAACAGTGGAGTGAGCTGCGGGGACTGGACACGTGGGGAGAAAGCCATGACTAGCTCATGGTGTCTGGAAGACCACATCGGTCAGCAGTTTGGCGGATTGGTCGTCTTTCTTTGGGATGTATTATTTGGAGGTCTGATTTAAGCGGGATCGCGTGGAATCAACATCCAGGAACTGAACGATGATATATGGGCACCAGTTTCTGTCAGCCGTGATTGGACACTTTTAATCTCACTGCAACAGAAAGATTCCGCTTTTGCAGTTGCCTCGTCGATATCGCTCAGTAGGAGTATTATGCATCCATGTCTGATGCCGTGGGCAAGAGCACCCCATCACCATCAGCACCAATCCCAACTAAGCAGAAATACTCTTGATCATCTCCTCCAACTCCCTTACATTCCCACCAACAACCCTCTTCTCCAGAGGCTGCCCATCCTTATACAGCACAAACGTCGGCATCGCGCGGATATTCATCTCCTGCGCCACAGAGCGCACCTTGTCGACATCGACCTGGATGAATCGCACATTGGGATATGTCTCGCTAAGCTTCCCCACAATAGGCGCAATAGCCGTGCAAGGGCCACACCAGGTGGCGAAAAAATCGACGACGACGGGGCCGGACGAGGTAAGGGCCTTGTAGATGACCGGACTTTGGGTATTTTTAGTGATCTGCTTCTTGATCGGGGGTTATCGGGGATTATTACTTATCCACAGCAATTACTTTGCCATGCATGGTTGCGGCGGCGGGGCTGGAGAAGAAGCGGTTATAGATAAGGCGGATTGCTATCGGATTAGTGAGAAGGGATTCGATTGGCAAGAGAGCTAGGATTGCTCACCGATGTAGACGGCGAGAGCGAGGATAATGCGGGAGTAGTCCATGACGCTGATAGAAAGTGGTTGAGCAACGATGGGTCTGTTGACTGGAGGGGAAGTCGCCGATTTGTTATGTTGGTTAGTCAGCAACGCAACTCGGCATAAAAGTACTGTAGTTATGCTGCAGGCGGCGGCGGATTCCACCGCAACCTTTCTCGACGAGATAAAGTGATCAATGTACCAATCAGGTAGGCCTGGATGGATGCGATTACTCTAGATCGATTCTTCTCTCTTTACTATTAGAAGAGACTATCAGCATTGTGACGTGGTCGGATTCTACCGACAAGAACCCATGCAGGAATATGAGCATCAGCACTTGAATTTGATAATGCCCGTCTAACGAGGGTTGACAATCCTGTTGCCTGTTGACCTGATCCCCTCTTCATCGACATTCTCGGCACAGCAGTCCCTGTAACCTCTTTCTATTAATAGCGCCAGACGGATCAAGGGTATGCATTGCTCTAGTAACTGCTCCCGAAGAAGACCTACCTCGGACCTTGAGCAGCAGTCCTCATAAGTGCCTTCTGTTGACTAGCTCGTTTATTAAATACTATGAGCAGCTTTTCAGGAGCTATATCTACTACTGTTGAATTGCACACTCCAGACTTGGCAACACAGTGGGCCGGGGCAGTGTCTTGAGGAGATACTCCCATACGCTGGGAGAGATTCGTTTGTTGTGAAGTCACATAAGTACCTGGCGAGCGTGGAACACAAGAGGATTGCAGATTGTCTTGACCGAATATTGCTTGATGGAAATGAACTCAAGGATCAGGCAACAGCATAATGCTCAGCAACGATGACCCCGCATCGCCTACATGGGAAACTGGGAGGAGCGGACCCTGAGAGGAATTACTCCGTAGCGTTGTCTTTAATTAACAACCGCTGATCTACGCCTGACTCGTATCAGAATGGATTCCGTCAGTCCGCAGGCCTATAGATCTGTGAAAAGTCAGGATGTCTGTAGTGCCAATCCTTAAGAGCATGGGCTCAGCCACACCCGGTGTTAGGGCCTGGATTGGTTGGTTATCTATGCGAGCTCTTCCGTTCAATGATAGATAATTTTGTTCAAGATGCTTTTGAAATCGTCGAGAGCTGATATCCCATCTCTGAGGCATACCAGATGAGGCCTCTTTTCTTCTGTCTGCTCCTAGCGCTGCGGCGCGTTGCAGCCGATGACAACGAAGATTCCGACTCCGACCCGAGATGTAAGTTGAAATATCTGTCTGTGCTTGATCGACGGCTGAACAATCAGGCAACACCGATGTGAACATTGCATCCCAAGCAGATGCAGATTCTATTGCCTCCTGCCAAACCGTCCGCGGTAGTGTGACCATTACGAACTCGGCGAGCGGGACTATCAATCTCCACGGAGTCAAGGCAATCCAGGGCCCTCTCACAGCTCACGGATCTTCGAATCTCAATTCCTTGATAGCGTCGGACCTGAAGACCGTCACTGGAACATTGACTGTGGCGAACAATGATGCGCTCAATCAAATCTCAATGTCCAACTTACAGACCGTTGGAGGAGATATCAAAGTGGAGAACAATCGAAATCTGAAAGATTTGTCGTTGAGTAACCTGGACGAGGTCAGAGGGGGCCTGACCGTCTCCGGTGATTTCGATCGGTTCGTTCAGGTATATTCTCCCTGTACTTCGCACAGACCTGACGAGGCGTAGGATCTCCTTCTCGAACCTTGACACAGTGCGCGGACCTACTACGATCCATAGCTCAGGCACCTTCAACTGCTCAAGTTTGGATAGTCAACAATCTGGAGACGGCCATGTATTCCAAAACACATACTCATGTGCGACCGGTAAAAGCAACAAGTCATCCAACAGCGATGGACTGAGCACGGGTGCAAAGGCCGGAATCGCCGTGGCAGTGGTGATTGTCGTCCTGCTGATCCTGTTCTTCCTTTGGCTGTTCATCCGCCGTCGCAAGCGCCAGCAGAATCGACGGACAGAAAAGGCAGTACCAGAGGTAGCCACATCGCCAACACCATCTCCCACCGGCCTCGCAGCCGAGACAGAAAAGCCGACCCTAAAACCCACGCCGCCCCAAGAGGACGTGGAGAGAAATATCCCCCGAAAACCACTGTCCCCACCACCAGTCGCAGACGGGCGATCCTCGCTTCTAGCATCTTCGCTCCCCGGATCCGAGAGAATGTCCGTCCCTGTATCATTACTTCCTGGGTCGGATCCATCGGTGTCCTCGACATCCGCATCCCACCACAGAGTCACTTCCGACCCCACGCTATTTTTACATCATATCCCACCCGCAGCGCCGCAGCCACCCCCATCCGAGTTGGAAGTACCCATGCTGGACAGCGGGAATGTATACGAGGTAGGGACTGGTCGAACAAGGCCTCAAACTCCTGTCTATGAGCTGGATGGAGGCGGAATGAGCAATCATCAGCAGCCTATCAACCGCGAATAATGATTGATTATGACATGTTCATAGTTGTATGCCAAGTAGACAATGAACAAATGCACAAATTTTATTGCCAGGCGCAATCCTCTTAAGTAGTTGATGCCAGTCATTTCTTCGCAACATTAGCATTAGCAAGATGAACGCACTATATGCAATTTTGAGTATGTGGTATATCCAAATCATCTATACGGCCATATCCGGCAATGTACATAAAACCCAGCTAGGTGTGCGCCCTCACTGCCTGCAGTGTCTCCCCGTTGGCTAACGGTCCACACCACCCATACACATCGCACCGACACTGCTCAAAGCGCGGACAATAGATATCCTCCATGCCAAACACCACATGCCAGACCTTCTCAAACACCCACCCCACCCCAAAGCTATCCGTCAGGTCCGTCTCCGCCGCCCACGCCAGCATCCGCTCGTAGTCCCGCTTCGGACGCTGCAGGATCCGCTCCCTGGTGACCGCAAACTGCCCGCAGCAGACATTCCCGATGTGCTCGGGGACGCGCTCTTTGCCGACGCCAAACAGCGTCTGGTACACCTGGGGAAAGTACGCGCGGATATCCTTCTTGTCGATATCGATCTGCGTCGGGGACCAGGGGTGCACGTTTGTCGGGCAGCCTGGGTCGTGTTCGCAGCGGAGGTTGACGTAGCCCTGTGCGGCGACGGCCTCGAGGCGGAGATTGCGCAGGGCGACGCTGGTTTTGGGGCCGAAGAGGTCGTTGTGCCATTGGTCTTGGTTGGAGTGGATGAAGATGGTGTAGGGGGGGAGTTGGTCGTAGAAGTCGACGACGTAGGAGAGGTAGGCAGCTGCTTCGCGGCCGCGGGTGGTGTGGGGGACGAGGAGGTGCGGAGCGGGCTTGGGGTCGGTGGTGTAGATGAAGGGGATGGCGTCGCTGTTTTGTTTCTCGAGTATTAGTATATGGTTGTGTTCAAATGAGATGGGAGAGGACGAGTACGACGTACTGATCACGGCAGTAATTCAGCAGCCAGGTGAGGTCCTCCGATTGTGTCGCGGCTAGCACCAGTGCGATAGTGCTGTTGGAAGAGTATGTCTTGGTGATGTCGGCGAGTTGCTGCGTCACGGAACGCTGGTCTTGCTCGAATTCTAGCCAGTCAGTGTGGCTGCCAATTTGAGAAGGGTTGCAGACTCACCGTCACGCTCCAGCGCGAAATCTCCCCGCCGATACAACATTAAGGTGAACAGCCAAAGACCGATCAGCGCTGTGCAAGTCGTGACTGCTGTCCGGCGGGCCGGCCATCTGGACAGCCGTCGTTTTGACATTGAATCTGTATTCAGCGGCAATGTCTGCTTCATAATCCAGGAGGGTCAAGTGAAAGGATAATGCAGCAGACAGGAGACGCAAACGGTGCAAGTGAAAGAAAATTCGAAATAAGAAAAACAGGTCAACTGGCGCTTATGCGAGGTGTCATCGCCATAGCCATCCTTGTCATGCAGGACCAACTCCAAGTCAGCATTTTTATCATTGTCCAGGCAGGTTTAGTAACCGCCTTTGCCTTTCCTGAGTCTAGTCTACTGCGTAACAGCTACTGGGAGCTCCGTAGCACCAGGGAAAAATTGTTGGAAACGCAACGCCGCACCCGCTAAGTGATCCGCCCCACAATGAGACGTCAATCTATTGGTGCAAAGATACGCTAGCATCCTAAGTTCCTGACCGATCATAAAGATGATGGGTCTCTTTGTTGCAATTTTACTGGTTCACTTTGTACCCTGATCAACGGAATTTAAACTGCGATTGGCCAAAGTTAATGTACAAAGCCACTCGGCCCCATCCGGAACTTTCCTGATTCAGTTGGATCTGACGGGTCCATGAGATGATGCAGCTTCACCCAATCACGTCAGGGCTTTTGTGCCTCTATGCTGCCTTGATCTTGCTGACTTTAGAAATATCATTCACAGAAATGCATTGTAATTAACTGATGAGAACTGAATTTCTGAAGATCTTGACTGAATTATATGCCATCACTTTAGGTTCGCTTTAGGAATTCGATCGAGCTTGCTTCAACCATCATAGCAGCGTATTACGGTGATGTGAGGTAGAGCCTTATTCCATTTTCGGAGTAGGATAGGAGTAGTCTTGAAGCCTCAGCCCCTGTTATTGTCTCACATCTCAATATCCATATATTACGTAGTCTCTAAGCTTTTAATTCTCCTCAAAGCCCTTCCCTGAGCACTGTCCCATTCCCTGTGGATACTAACCCAGAGGCTCCGATCGGCTATCTATGCTTCCACTGGAGTCAATCCATGTATAAATCATTAAGAAAAGCTTTTGCCCAGCGAGGTGATGTTTTATGAATTTTGGTCAGGATAAAAAGGCCCTGGTAGAACTACTGCGCTAGTGACTAAGGTAGTCACTATAAGCCACAGGGTTACATCGTTCTGTAGCTATTCAATATCCAACTCAGTATGGACTAACCAACCCTTCCACCTAATTTCAGGGTCGGTTATGGAGGATGGCATGACCCTGATAGAACATTCTGCGATTGTAATTTCCAGGAAACCGTGTCTATATAAGCTCATGAGAAGCACAGTGGCGTTTTCCACCTGATGATCAAGATTCATGTAGATGAGTGGCGGTGTGGGCAGAGAGCAAAGACATCCAGAGTTTTGTGCATTGATTTTAATCAATTTTGCGTCTGGATGTCAACCTAGGTGGAATGGCGTAGGGTTTGGGGGCCAGACGCGACTAGAATTAAGGTGCTACTGTCTTAGTTCCAGCCTATGTTAACCGTTTTGAGTGAACGAGGCTGTCCTTACTCCCGAGTGGATTTCGCTTGGCGGGAGGCATCTTAAGCGACCTTTACCCAGGAGGGCAATAGTCATGTGACCAGCATCACATGGCTCCTTAATAGAGGTTTCCTGCATCGTCAATTTTGTCCATATCATAATGTGAATGCAAAGCCTTTCCCTTGCTACCCTAGTATGTGAGTTACCATAATTACTACTTCAGGCTGCGCTGAGGGGAAATACTAGTTTAGGGAGGATAACCAGCTCAACAATGATATGTAGGGTCCCGCCAATGTTATTTTATAATAATCATCAACATTGCATGTGTAAATTGATGACCCACGGCAGATGATATTACGCCGTCCAGGATTTTTATTAGCTCTTGCATGATAATGCATTAGCTTTAAGATGTTATAAACTGACGCTTGATTTAAGTAGATAACAGAGCTTTGTATACAGAATTTAGTCCTTAGAAGTGATTGGATTTCGAATCAATCAGATGTCCATGTTGTATATAAAACCCTTAACATTTTAGACGAGAATAATAACAATCAATCTTCCTGAAATACAACAATAAGAGTTAGATGACACAATCGCAGATAATCCATCACCTAAAGCAGTTGTAAAGATTATGGCAGCTCCAATGGACATGTAATTATCTTACCTTTTCGGTGGAGCTGCTAGTTAAACATAATCGATTGGCTTCTCCCAGATCGGCGAGGACAGCGGCCTCTGCTACTTCGCTTGTACCCGCAGCTACTGCCCTACCCGACTTGCTCGAGGAACAGGTGGCCCCGTTCGCACAACTTTATCGCATACGGGACTCGTATCCGGCTGGGACTGGTGCCCGTTGTGGCTGGATTCAGGATGAGTTCGACAACAGCGCTGAAGAATTCGAATATCGTTGTTGCGAAGGTGCTTACCCGTATCAGCTCCTGAGCGCCGGAGACCAGATGGAGAGTATGGTCCTGCGCTTTCGTGCGTGCACGGGAGCAGTCATTGCGGATATGGAGACTTCTACTCCCAGCCGTGAAGCGCAGTTGCGCATGATCATGGGCAAGCAATACTACGCTAGCAGTGACTGGGCGACCATCTCGATCGGAGGCACCAATGTTGGCTTCGGCCAGATTGCATACTATTGTCTGCACTGGTGTAATAAAGATGGATGCGCCCTTGCTATGGCCAATGCGGCGACAAAAGTTCCAGTCCGACGATTTCCGCAAGCAATTTTCAAGCTGTATGACAACATATTCTTGGATGCCTTGCCCAGAGGCCTCAGGCAGACGGCTGCCTACTCGTCGTTACTGCAGTGCCTGTAGTCGTACTTCTGGCGTGGTTTATGCTAGACCCAAGGGCCTCGACAACAGCTGATCTCCTCAGTGGTGAAATTCAACAATCAGAGACGCGGGTGGAATGGGACAATCCCGGGTGGTCAGTCATATGTATCGATTTAGAGTCTTGTTTGGAGGTCATCGGTTCTGCCAGATAGGACTTGACTATCGCTATTCATGGTTTTTGGTCCTCATGGGAGCCGACGCCCTGGACGACGGCACCATCGTCCTCACGATGCTGCCTGCCTCAACTGAAGAGGGGGTGATAGAGCTGACGACCTACTGGAAAACGTGCCAGGAAACGGGCTCGGATCCCTGGATTGACCTTATCTGTGAAAACTCTATAGCCAGGCACAATGGCACTCTTCCTGACTTTGGCACATCGGGCCTTTACGGACCCTCCCCTGGTACTACCATGATGGCACCGTGGGAGGCTCAAAAGGCCATGCACGCAAATAAGATGGGTCACAGCACCATTTCACAGGGCATCTACAGCCTTCTTAGTAAATTTGCTCCTTGATGTCTGTGCTGAGAAGAGGGAAGGAACGCTTGAAGCATAGTTTATAACCATGCCAACAGAATTTCGAGAGGCTATTCAAGAGATTGTAAGTAGAAAACAACTTTGTCAAGAAAGGACACTGAAGGATCGACTAAGATTTCTGATCGCAGTATTTTCTCATCCAATCAATCACAGTGCGATACCAAAGCAAATTATTTTCTGGATTTACAATCGGATCCCCTTCGTCTGGAAATACCAGGAGCGCACTATCCACGCCTCTGAGCTGGAGAACGTTGAAAGCGGCTAATCCATCGGCAATGACCCTCTCGTAATTCAACTCGCAATGGATGACCAAATGGGGAGTTTGCCAGCTTGCAGTAAATCGTGCTGGATCCCATTTCCTCCACTCATCCGGAGTTTCCCAAATAGGACCTCCAATTTCTTTGACAAAATGTTGCCGATTGCTGGCTAACTGGGAGGTCATACTAAAAATCCCATCATGCGTCACAAGGGCCTTGAACTTACGGCCAAGCTCGTGGCCTTGGGTCCAGTTGACCATGTATCCTCCGTATCCGGCACCAACGGCGATGGAGCGAGCAGTGTCAATGTATTGGAGGCTCTCATTTTGTTGCAGATATTCAAAGCCTCTCTCAAGATCTGTATAAGGCAGCCCGCCCCAGGAACATAGGCTAGAATCTTTAAAAGCTTGTCCAAACCCAGAGCTCCCTGCCGGGTTGGGCGCAACAACAACAAAGCCCTGTTCTGCGAACAATGCTAGATTCCATTGGATACTCCATTGGTTGTTCCACGCACTATGAGGGCCGCTATGGATGAAGTAGGCCAGTGGGTATCGTTGCTGTGGGTCGAAATTGGATGGTTTGATCACCCAGGCGTGGATTCTGCGATTTCCAGTGCTATCAAACCAAATCACATCGACTTGTGCCTTAGAGAGTTCTATACCCATTGTGCGACTTGCCGACAATATCTTTGGAGATTCGGTCAGAGCGGCTAGGTCAAAGATATTCCATGTAGGGGTCTCGACTAGGCTGCTGTGAGTGATCAGAATTCTCGATGAATCTGATCGCACCGGTGTTACATGCGCAATAGATCCAAAACACCATGGATCAACCGGTCTTAACGCAGCGGGACGCAACCCCTCCCGGCAACGGTCAAGTTTAAGGTGATATAGCATCACGCGCCCACTCTGCTCTGTCTGGATAAGAAGCGTACGGTTGTTCCCAAATGAGATGGCGCACGGGCTAAGATCCCATAGTCCATTGCCATCAGCAGATGCGAATATCTCATACACATCATAACTTCCTGGAGCCGGTATGTATATGATGCGATTTTTGTCGGCCTTGTTTCCATCTCTCTTCTGAGATAGGAAGGCGATTGGTCGACTTTCATCTGACTTGTCCACTGCAAGTGACGATATTGCTCCTCCTAATCCCCGATACCGCCATACTGGATAGATAAGGTCTCTGTTCTGTTGATCCCAGCGTTCCACGGATTGGACATAGCATGAGCATGCTGTATGAGTAGCCTTGTTGACTTCTCTGTCCCTAGCGACAAATACCATGCCAAAGGGGTTAATTTCAAATTCTCGCGAAGTCTCTTCCCCTCCCAAAGGTGACATGGGCGACTCCAACCCCTCTAGTCCCGCAAATATCATGAGATTAGAAATGCCCGAGATACAATACCGACTCCCCGGCTCAGACCCTCTTCGGAGAAACCCATACCAGATGGAGTTCTTCAATCCGCTCACATACGAGCATTCATCTCTGACTGGGAAGGTAGTGTAGAAACGGCCAGTGCTATGGCCAGTGGATTCCGCAATCTGCCTCGGGTTCACTAGAGATCCATCTGGGTTCGCCCTGCCACTAATCGCAAACGCGAGCTCATTGTCGTCATCCTCTCGAAACGGAAGTTGTCCGGTCACTTTGAGGTCAAAGGCTTGGCCGGGGACTGTGCCGGCTTTATAGAGCCCAGTAGTCGTGCACTGTGCGTCGCCGACCACCAAGTCAGTGTTTCCGCTTTCCAGCCATTCAAGCCATATCAGCTGATTACTTTTCGATACCCATTGAGGTGATCTGGCGTTGGGATTCTCAGTGACACAACACGATCGACCAGTCGCGAGATCCACAACGCGGATCTCCTTTTTCTCTGTTTGAGAACGAAACGAGTACGTGCTTTGAGTATACACTGCAAGAGTGCCTGCGGCATTTAGAGTTGGGTTTGAGCGTTTAGGTGCGCCGAGTACTGTCCTGCGAGAATTATTATGTTAAGCGTATTCTAAAGGGAAGTCTGGAAGGTAGGCCTACTCCGGAATGAGTCTCATCGTGACCATAGCGCGGCAGTTGATGATCTCCTGAATTTGGGATAATCAAAATAGAGAGTAATAGTAAGTCGCTTTGAGGTAACGTCGGCGCTTGCAGAGGAGGCCAGAACGGCTCAAGGCCCCTTATCAGTAGCTGGGGCAAGGCACTAAGTGATGAATTAACCCCTCATTGATTAATCCATGCTGGAAATTCGACTATTCGGACACAAGGGGATTATGCAGCCAATCATGTATCTCTAGCCTCTGACTCCGTAAGCACTACTTTCAAGGAGTGGCTGCCCTTGTTAAATGGAATGGGCCGACTTATCAGGCATAGGTAGTCCTATGTAAGTCTCAAGCCTGCTATCACGACGTCTAATATGGAGGAATATAGGGTTTCAAATTTGGTTATATCAAGCATAGCGGAGTGCCATTGTGCTATATCTAGATATCAGCATTCTATTATATCTTTTACTTCAACCATTTCTAGAGTAGTTGTCAACTCTCAATTTGCTGAGTTTGCTTTAGAGCTCGAACTCCTTCCTACCCTTATACTTTCCCCCCGAGTGTATGCATTTCGTAATGAGCCTCGACTGTCTGATATCCTTTATAAAAAGAACGACCTCGCCAGAGTCAACATGATGAGGGGTCTCGAATTTGCAGTTAACGCCCTCAAATAACTTCCCCAAGCAACCCTTTTCCTTTTTTGTTCTCTTCTTTCTTCTTCTGCTTCTTCCTCCCCAGCCAAATGCTCAGAATTCGAGTTACTCTTGTCTTCCTCCTCGAAATTCCAACCTTCCAGAGTCAAGTTTACCTTAATCTCCGTTTCAAAAGTTTTACTGTCAACGATGACTTCGAACTACACAGTTAGTCAGCACTATGGAAACCAATGTTATGTAGAAAAAATGATATACTTGATGATAAGGGGCCTCAAGAGTATATGTCTGTTGCTGACGCGTTGCTCTGCTGATCAGCAAGCTAGACATTACATGAGCTTCAAGACCAATGGCATATGCTGTTGCAGAGAAGCCTGGATTTTATATGAGCACTTCATGATAACAATAAACTCCTTAAATAGTCTTACCTAAAAATTCTCCAAATAGCATTTATTTAACAGAATTATGTCGCGCAAGTAACTCTAAAATCATTTACCCTGTGAAGATATGGTAAAACTGTCGAATGCAGCCTACTTATACTTCAGGGTGTGCTAGAGCTAGAGTAGTCTGATAATGTTATACAAGTCTCACAAACAATAAAAATATGTTGGGCGCTGCTAAAAAAATACATGCGAGAGTCAAGTATTTGCTGTTGCACACAATAGTAAGCATGTTTTATTGCCTAGTTTCAGCAGTATTACAAATAGGTCGATAATTATACTCTACCGCTTTAATTACAGGCAGTCACCAAAAATAATTGTAAAGATTCTAACACAAACCTCAGCCACTAGAATAGCCTCTCCAGTCCTAAACCCTAAGAAGCACTGCTAACAGAGACCTTCCTGCCTAAGATCATCGTCAGCATGAAGCAAGGCACAACCCCCCCATCAATCTCCGCAGCATATGCATCCCAAAGTCCCGCAGACGCGCTCCGTGCTTCTTCCTTATTTTTGACAGTTTAGCATCTCAGTAAAGCATGATATAATGCAGCCTTTGCGCCGGCCTTTGTCCACTCCCGCACATGATTGATGAGGTCCAGTCTGTTGACGGAGTTATAATCCTCCACAATGATGTCTACCAGCCCCAGCTTTTTGATGGTCTGCTCAATTTCAATGGACAGAGAATTCGGGAGTCCAGATGCAATAGGGGAAGCACGCATGATCTCTCTGACTTTGGTCGTGGTTTCCGAAGGAGGGTTGAAAGAGAGATCTCGCGTCTCGATCTCTTCCCAATGGAAGAAACCACCAGGATCTCCCCCAGAAGATTGAATCAGTTGGATAGATTAAAAGCACCAGAAATTCTTCTATCCCAAAGGGTGGAGGGAGGATAGGGGCGGGTTTGATTGCGTAAAACTTACTCAACAAATGCAGCGACAAATCAGCGCTCAAGCGAAGCTCACATTCAGCAGCTCTGCAGCCTCAATCCACGCCAAAGGACCTTCCCGAGTGCATGAAACATGACAGACATCGTCAGCGCATCAGAGTATCCAGAAATCGGCCCCGACGGGAGGGGGGCTGCAAAAAATGCTTCACCCGAGTCCATGCTGGACCTGACCCAGCATACGGTTCCTGCAAAAAAAGAAAAGCAGCCGTCGGCTTGGTTGCGGGAGACCAACCCCCGTCCGCCCGGCACCAAGGCTGCAGACTCCATCAAGCACACATACGGAGGGACTACTGGGGTCGTACCCTACTCTTTCCTATTCAAGACCAGCAGCGACTTCGTCAGGTTTCTCGCCCGTTTGCGGGGTGATCCCAGTACCGATGCCACATGGTGTATCTGCCGGTGGTCATGCGGGGCAGCTGCCAATAGGCGATCCCTGTCTCGAGCTCTTCAGCCGACGATCGGATCTTCGGGCCACGTTTCCTGGTGGTGTACATTCTGTGCCAAGGGACAACGCGTGTCAGACCCCAGTGAGAGGCGGAGTTCATGGATCCCCCACTCAACGTCTTTCCCCGACATCTCGGGCGCCGCCCTCGAAATTGGCGAAACGGTTCGAAAGAGTTCCGGTATTCAATTGTATAGATCATATAGATGCGGACTGTTCGATAAACCCAGACTCAGATATTGTGTTTACAAAAGGGAAAAAAAAATTTACTTATCAAACCAGCTGCAACTAGGGCGGTTTCCTTCGTATACCTACCCTCGGTACGTACCTAGAGTATAGAGCAAATAGTCGAGTTTTCGTTAAATATAATACAAGGGAACGCGTCCTAACGTCGAAGCTTCTGCACAGTCGGTTTTCCAACGCTGGCTTCTCTGCTCGCCGCTGCAGCTACCCAGGGGTTGAGTGAGGTGCTTTGCTGTTCAGGCTGGATGGGGGGTGGGACACAAACATTGCATTGAGGGGACGGGAGTCAGAAGAGTCGAAAAGGGAATGAACCTGTTCGGATGACGGTGACTTTCGTGACTGAAGTGTCTGATTTGGGTACTTGTCTGTATATGAGCTTGGAGTTTGGCGTCAGGCGATGATATCTTGACTTTGAGACGACTGGATACTAGTTGACTTCTCGAATGGCAGACAGAAATGGTGTAACCGAGTTATATTCACCCCTTAGTTATAGGTTGTGATTAGTCAAGTTGAAACCCATATGGCTGATTTGTGGTTGGCTTATACTCAGCCCAACCTGCCGCATGCTAGCACGTTAAAGTTTCCACTAAGTTATTTGCCCAATAGAGTAGTATTGCGAGATATCAAGGAATTGCCGTCCCAGTTTGTCCAAGGCCAGTGACCGGGTGACCACTGGCCCTGATATCAGCAGGCTACCTATGACCAGTCGGTGTTTGAGTTTCTTCTCTCTGACTTCCCTCTAGGTTGCAATAAGAGTTATTAGCCTCCGCCTTCGTCACTCCTGCCATCATGCCGACGTCCTCAGTTTAGTCAGGCGCGGAGTGGCGTCCACGATTCGCTAAGATTTTATGGGGAAATCTTAAATGTCCTAGTCTTAGGGCTACCAGTATTACTTCTGCCATTATGCCAGGGCCACGCGCCACTCCTCGTGGACATGGAGTCTTCTACCCAACTGTCTTCGATATGCCGCCATGAGTCTTGAGGTGTAAGAGAAAAGGTACCCTATATCGTCTGCCCCTTGGTTGATTGACCTGGCTTCGTCCCGAAATACCTGGAGGTATGATGGTAGGGCGGAATCGGTGTCTATTCATCCAATGGCCGCCTCAGGAGTCAACAGCTGGCCCAAGGCGATATCACGATGGGATAGAAGGCCGGTGGTGATTAGCTCTACTCTACCTACCTGGTGGGTAGTATCGTCGTGTTGCAGTTATAATATATATGCGAAGCCCATGATAACATCATCTGCCACAGTCAGCCTGGAGACCTGTATTTGAAGTCCCCCAGCCTTTTGAGGTACTATATAAACAACCTCCGATGTTGTCAGTCTCGTTTGGCCGACCACATACTCTCCTTATGCACGTAGTATTCTGAATATTCTCACCTTCCCATATTGTACATACACACCTGCTTCTGCCTTGTACCCTCCCCGTCCTTACAAATGCGTTGCCAATGCGCTTGTTTCCTCCCAGCCCTGGCCTCTTTGGTCTCGGCCTGGGCGCCCCCCTCGTACTCAGGGTACACGTTGCAGTGGAGCGATAGCTTCGGCGGCTCGGCGGGGACCCTTCCCAACTCTAACAATTGGAACATAATCACAGGAAACCCGGGGGTGAATGGCGAGCTGGAGACGTACACCAGTTCGAACAGGAACGTCCAGCTCAGCGGCGGCAACACTCTGCAGCTAGTGCCTTGGAAAGACAGCTCCGTGTCCGGGGGGTGGACATCAGGCCGGCTCGAGAGCAAGTACGTCTTCACACCTGGCGCAGGGAAGCTCACGCTCGCCGAGGCCGATATCCGGTTCGGCAGCAACCCTACCTCTGCCAAACAGGGGATCTGGCCGGCTTTCTGGATCCTGGGCAACTCGATCCGCTCGGGAACCTCATGGCCTGCGTGCGGTGAACTTGATATCCTCGAGACCATCAATGGCCAGTTGACGGGCTACGGCACGGCACATTGTAACGTGTATCCAGGCGGCATCTGCAACGAGCCGAATGGAATTGGGGGAAGAATCACGATCCCTGATCAGTCGTGGCATACGTGGCGCATTGTCTGGGACCGCACTCCTTCGACCTGGCAGTCCGAGACCATTACCTGGTACATGGACGGCCAGTTGTTCCACCGGATTACTGGGTCCCAGATTGGCGACTCGAACGTTTGGGCCTCGCTGTGTCACAACCCGCTGTACTTCATCCTCAACGTGGCTGTTGGCGGCACCTGGGTACGTTTAGAGATTCTCCTTAATGCACCTTTCCGAATGTCTAGTAGGTGGGAGTACTGACGTGAAGTATCTTATAGCCTGGCTATCCCAACTCAGCCACCCTCGACGGTTACGGCAGCATGATGGAGATCGCTTATGTCGCCGTCTATATGTCTTGAAACTTATTGTCTTTATGTTTGTGGTAGGAATACGATGGCCTTGGGTCCCAGCCAGTCTGTACACCCACTTTGATATTCACCACTAACATGTTTTATTGCATTGTTTTTTGGGCATGTCTACATACGCTCGCTTTTGTATATACCACACTCGTTTTATGATAACGATTACAATCTTCGCATCGCCTATTGGGCGAGGCAGCCATACAATATGAGCTACTACTATTGTAGGAGATATCGCTAGAGTGGATTCTATCTTCAATTTTGGAGCAGCTTCCATTTGAATGAGTATAAGCAAGTTACTCTAGAAAAAGCGCCATCTTGTTGTCTTTTCATAAACAATCATCATAGCTGGGACTTGCAGCTTCTCAATTTGCTCCCTCTTTGATTCCCAAACTCAAGTCCATTTGCTAATGCTTCAACCCACCAGGTGCTCGGTAAATAATTGACGCTTCGATTGTTATTCCAAACCGTCTCAGAAAATAGTCTGGACGAACTCCCTAAAGTTCTGGGCGGTGATGGTAACATCGGTCTCATTCGCTGTGGGTGCCCTGTCAAACAGGGCCCGGAAGGGCAAAATCATCGGGGCGCCGGTCATCCCGGTTGGGGTAATGACAACCTCTTGAGCCGAGTAAAGATGCTGGTTAGCAGCTGGCTGATTGACTAGAGGAGGTCTGTGGACGGGCCGTGAGCGAAGTGTGGCGACGTACGCGGGGGGTGCCGGGTTCGGGGCGTTAGGCGGCATCAGCATCCATTTTTCGAACGTCACCCGATTCCTTTTAGCGCTGATGAGAATCACGATTCTGGTTTGGCCATTGGAATTGTTAAACCAGAACTTGGCGTTGGAACGCAGCTTGGGCATAGACTCCGAGACTCCTACCTCGACGACCAGAGTTGGCCATCCTCGGGTCTGTCCCTGGGTCACTTGCCGCGACGGGGGAGTGAATGCCTGATCGGCTCCTTTTCCCTTGTTGTTGACTGGCTTGTATGTCGTAGCGCCTATCCATCGTCGTTCCGTCCAGTAGATGCCCATATTTTGGAGATCCGAGGCGACCTTCGCGGTGAAATCATTGATTAGGGATTCGTGGGCAGCCCGCGGGATCACTTTGATTAGGCCAGTAGCTCCCTCCCACTCAAAACGAAAGTTGACACCAAGACATTCCTTGTCATTGTCTAAACGCTCAGTCGCTTCTTTGGTGAGACCCAAAACCAGAATCCATTGGTTACCGTCGCAATCGTTTGCCTCAAGGGTCTCCAGAACGCTGTTGGCAGCTTGCTGGAGTTGTTTGAAGCTCGTGTATGTTCTGGTGATAGTCGAAGTAATGCCATCAGAGATGTGGTATTCGCCCGTTAGGACTGTGGGATCACTCTGATGACGATTCATGATGGCTGAGGAGATGATTAGTTCGGAAGTGTGGATTGGAGAGACGGGGCAGAGAATGAAATTCTTCCTTTAGGGAACTAATAGGTATTTGGGAAGATTGAGAGGTTGTTGAAAAATATAATTATGGATATGGACCCTAGACCGATAGGAATCATGTCCAAACACCTTTTTAGCCTAGTGGTATTATGTTTCAATAGAGGTTGATACATGGAGAGAACGGATAGCGATTCTAAGAGATTGGGAGGTTGGTAGATTCAGGCTTCAGGTCGAGGTCTGAGAGTTGAATACATAAGGTAATGTTAATGGACTGTGAATTTAGTGAAAGAGCGAGATTGAGCAGGATGAATTTAAGCAGTGAAGAAATATCTAGTTCATACCTGTAGAATCATATTATTTTGAGCACAATGTAATTCCCTAATGGTATAGTGAATGGTCGATACTGCTGGCAGGAGAGAATACAGGTTAAAGTGAAGTAGAAGTTAAAGTGAAGCAGAAGTTGAGGTCATTACTACTACTTCACCTTCACCACCTGAATGATTACTACTTTTATTGCAGTGCGTTGCGCTGTAGACTGTGAGAAATGATGAGATAATGTGTAATTCCTAACTGAGCTAGACACCCCTTACCTGATTTCAATGTGATCAAATCCTGAGGCTGTCTAAACAGCCACCATGGCACCATGCCTCTAAAACCTTGTTAAATCTCTCAAGATTTAGTAAATTAAGAGGGAAGGATCCTATTAGTAACAACCACTTCAAAGAAGGAGGAAATTTAGAGTATGTATTCACCCAGCTATAGAGATATTTAATGTATGCCTAAATCTACCCTCTATAATCAACTAAATAGATGCTAATGAGGTCTTTCGGCCCGGGCCGAGACCCAGTCACCCCGGGCTGAGAAATCTCGCTTGAATATGAGCTGCTGAACCCCTTCAGACACATGATTAAATTCGAGGGAAGTGCGATATATTGCAACCATGTGTGAAGGACACCTCAAGCTTGACTGAGATTGGTAGACTTGTATAAGCAATTACTCCCCCCACAACTCCCCCGGCGTAAACCCGGCTTCGTTCCACACACTTTCCCAGAGCCCCTCCGCCGCTTCCATCCCTCTAACCATGCGCACAACCTCCTCGTCCACGTTCAACGTTCCGGCTAAGTAATGTAGCGCCGTATTCCCATCCGTATCTCGGGCCCTCACATCGACCCCTCCATCCTCCAAAACCACCCTAACTGTTTCTCTCAACCCCCTCCGCTCGCTTTCACTCATCGGCCGGGGATTACCCCCTAGCTGCTCCGGACCGACGAACTGCATATGTAGCGGACTCGGCAATCGATGTGGCAACCAAACCGTATCCAACGTGCGCGCGCAATGGATACTCCTCGCCACGGCCGGATTCCTGCCCACAATCTGGTCCGCCGTCAGCGGCAGGCAAGCGATATGCAGCAGCGTATGGCCGAGCGCCGTCGTCCCAGCAGCTTTCAGTCCACCGGGTACATGGCCCGCCAACCATCCCAGTAGATCCGGATCATGTCTCGCGGCCGCAAAATGGAGCACATGCACGTCAAAAACCGGGGTGCGGAGGCACAGGTTCAGTTTCGGATGTGCCAATAACTCGACCAGACACCTTTGCACACCGGGGTTCCGCAGATCGCAGCGCGCAATCGCAAACGATACAGGTGGGAGAGCGACTGTGGGCGCCGCGCGGGGGCGGTAGTTAGGCGAGTACCTGCACTCCGCCAGGAGATGGCGAAGCATATCTACCCGTCCGGCCTGGAGAGCCTGATGAATTGGTGAGGAGGTCGAGAGCGCGGACGGAGGTTCCCCTGCCTCCTCTGAAAGTTCGACCATCTCACCCTCCTCCTCATTCTCCTCCATCAACCAAGCAGACTCATCTGCCCCCGCCGCCCGCAGAACATCCAATGCATTTACATCCCCCATCCCCGCCGCCACCTCCAGCGCCGTCAAGGCCGTATTCATTCGCAAGCGCTGACCGGGAACATTCGGCTCGGTCCAGAACCGCGGGAAACCCCCCCGTCGCTCCTCAATTTCCGCTGCCGTCAACGGCGCAGTCTGCGCTGTAATCCCTTTCCTTTGGGCACTGGCCAAGACAGTCGCGCGGGGCGGACAATAAGCGAAACTAGACGTGTCGATCTTGGGATCCCGGCCGCGGATAAACCGCACCGCATAATCATTCAATTCAAAGGCACTGATGCCGTTGGGGTCTGCGCCTGCGCTGAGAAGGGTCTGGATGTTGTGCGGGAGGCTTGCCTGTATAGCGGCCGTTAGGGGGGTCTCGTAAATGCCCCAGATAGCGCCGGAGACGGTAGCGTTGGGGGAGTAGCGCTCAAGGTTATGACGCGGGAAGGTTGGTGGTACATCATGGCATATCTCATTGTAATAGGCCAAGAGAGCCTGGAGAACGGCGGGGTTGGGGTTCTTGGCGGCGCGGTTGGCCGGGGGTTCATCATCCTGCGAGTTGTCGAGATCGTCGCGGGTAAGTTGGTAGGACATGATGTTTTCAAGATTGATGGATGATGGGAGGGTCGGTGGGCGAGAGTCGATACTTATAGTTATAATATATACTACAAGCGAATTAAGGCTAGGAACCGGGGGTACGTTCACCCGAAGTAGGGTATGCTGTGCCTGAGTCCTACGTCACATTCCTCCGCCAGGTTGTGGATTTTTATACTTTAGTTTTCGGCACTTTCTACCAATAGATTGATTTCAACCAGGATCCTGTGGGTTCCCCCTGCCGTTCTGAGTAATCTAAATCTCTACTATACCTCATCGTTATCATCCTGACTATCCTCCGTGCTCGGCTGCCCCTGCGCATTGCCATTGGGGGTGAACTGTCGACTCTGCCGATATTCACCCCAGTCAAAGTACCGCCGTGAGGAACAGGGATCGCTGTCATCAGCAACTGTGGTCAACTGTCCCCGCTGCGCTCCGGTGAACGTCTCCTCCGTGATCAGATCCTCGTCAAACAGATAGTTCCCGAACCGCGTAACTACTTGCGCCCACACGGGCAGATTGTTGGTTGCCGAGTTGGGCAGATCGCCAGGGTACCAGTAGATCGTATTGGCGTTCGCCTCATTCCCCGTGTTGCACTGGAGAATATGCGCCCGCCGATTGTCTCCCTGGTGGTCATTGCCATCCACGCGCGAGAAGCGGTTGCTGTTCGCATATTGCTGGGCGTGGAAGGCGACAATCGCGTAGATACCGGCACGGTTGACGCCTCCGCGGTTGGCCAGATGCTCAAAGTGGAAGTGGAAGACCACCCAGCGATCGGCTGCCGTCTCCCGGTAGCTATCGTCCGGGACTTCCCAGACAACTATTGCACGGATTAGAAATCAAGCGGACGAAAGACACCCCGGGACATGGACATACTCTCGAGAATGTTCTCGCCCCCGTTGGTGCGGATGAGCTGCTCATAGACCAGCGTCATGTGGCCATTGACGATGCCGTCCACAATGTACCCTGCTCAGTCAGACTAAATCACCCGATAACCACGGAGAAGAGGTCTTACCCCACGTTGGTAACCCGAACTGCGCCGAGGACTGAGATTCCTCCGACTCCCCAATGTTCCGATTGAGGAGCAATTTGGTGCCGTTCGACTCCGACAGAGAGGCATCAATGCCGCGACGCTTGGCCCCGGCCGCGGCACACGGAAGGACACAGACGCTGCTTCGGGACCTTTCATAGTCATCTACTTCATTCCCGGCGTTTCTGCCCATGCACATGAGACTCTCAGTGCGGGAATTCGTGTCCACCAGAGGTCTAAAACAGGTCAGCCGCTGAGGACGCTATAACGAAGGGAAGGAGAGAGCTTACGCGTCGTCAAACGATCGATGGATCTGGTCCAACGACAGACCAAAAGGTTCGCCATAGGTTGTGTTGAACTGGCCCGCCATCAGCGACGACTGATATGTTCCGGCCCTGCCGATTGCAAGAGCCGAAATCTGCAACATTAGACCCGACCAGTCCGACGCAGTCAGGTCATGTCGCTTGGCTAGAGCTACAGTCTTTTCACCACCATCACGCTTGGTGTACTGCCGGTCGCTTGCTTTGCAAACGGGGTTCTTGACGAACTTCTCCAACCGTGTGGTGAATGCAGCTACCAGCGGATCATTCTATGGAATGTCAGTTCTGATGCTGCAACCATGGCCGAGGACTTACCGTCGTCGCGGGAGAGCCACAGCAGAAGGATCCGTAACCTGACCGTCGTTAGCCGAATCGTAGTTGCCCAAAGAAATGAGAAGGACGAACCTGAAAGGCATCCCGACGGATCTGTTGCAATGGACGCCTTGCCGGCAGGGCATTCGCCAGTACATTGAAACGGAATCTGTCCCAGGATTTTGCCACCGTGGTAATACCAATCGCAGTCCTCATATGGAGGAGGTTGGTCACAACAAAAGGACTCGTTCGACATCAGCGGGATCCGTTCCTCACCTGGCGGGAGGGATTACTCACCTTGTATCCAGTGATGCATGGCTCCTCACCACCGGCACCATAGTTCGAGTACGTGAGTCTGTCGCGGCCTGTAGGGCAGCCAGCTTTGCTGAACGGTGCTGCGCAAAACGGCGCACTGCCATACCATTTGCACTCGGCCACGGCCGCGTTGGCCGCATTCTGCGTGCAGCACAGCACCTTATGCCCGGTCCAGCATTCAGACCCCGTGCCGCTGAGACTGCTCGAGACTTCGACCTCGCCGTCATGGCACCTGCCATTGCAGAATGGCGCTCCTCCTCTCCACTGGCACGTGGGCATGTTGTCGGGGGGACAGCAATATAGTCGCGACTGGCCGCTCGGACATCCGGTATTTGTACCCGTGTTGCCCTTGTTCTTGCCGTCGCTGCGCTGGGCCGGCTTGAGACCGTTCGGACACTGTTTCCCGCATTCTCCCAGCCGGCAGGATTGAACCTGGTCGGTCGACGAGGAGGTTGCGGCCAGCGAGATAATGGACCGGCCCGTCAACTTGGAGAGCGCCGCGGCCGCAC